TTTTGTCATTAATTCATATGTATTATTAACTTTTAGAGTACTTTTGGTACTAAAGAGTACTTTAAGGTAACCTTGAAGGGGTCATTGAGTAGTAAAGGATAATAATTTTTTAAGTTGACAAAGTAATTTGAAGAGTTCCAAGGGCATGTGCAAGGAGCTTGTATGTTTATCTTACGTTATGAGGTTGAGTGACGTTGTAGCAAGGAGAGTTTGCATTCCATCTAACACTGCTCCACCATTAACTGCTGTGATCATGTCATTTTTAAGCCCATCCCCAAGGTATACACCAAGGGCTGTATGAAAGCTCTTATCTGCAAGGCTGTAAATAGTGTTGAAACAAAATATAAAGTCAGTGAAAAATATCAAAATCTAATGTTACATCATCAGTCATGCCTCCCTCTGGTCAAGGAGTTAACTCTTTAAGCCCCAGTATCCACATACAAATTCTCCAAACTGATCACCATACATTTCCTTAAGTAATTAGTTGAGAGAATTTGATGATAGATCAGGGCATTGTCTCTCAGGTGATCATTTTATTAATTCTCATAACTTATCTCTTGACACTGTATGGATATTGTGAGGAAAAAATTGATCTTGGTCACTATTGGGACTTAAACGGTTAACTCTCCACAGGTACTGCACCTCTGTGACTGATCCAATGTTTCAGCTGTTCTATTGATGAAGTGAGGAGGAACCTCATAGTCGTTTGCATCTTGTCTCCCCTCATCATCATCATCATCGTCTTCATCATCTAGAATGGACGAAAAAAATTACAGACTTGCTTTTTGACCAAGTTAATAAGTTGCTCTGGTCCCAGTTGTTCAAAGAGTGGATAATGCTACACACCGAATAAATCTCTATCCACTGAATAGTGCAACTGGTTTCCCTAAACACTTATCTGCGGGATAGTTATTTACCCAGTGGATAGTGCTATCCAGCTTTTGAACAACTGGAGTCAGACTGGTGACTAAAAAATTAGTAAAAATTTTAAGTCAAATCAGTACAAAAAGTTAAAATCTAGACTGACGCAAACACATACAGTGTAGTTGGTAGCTACTAAGGATCAAGTCAAACTCGCTGTTGGTATCCACCCTAATTTTTTTTGGTGCAACTGAGATGAGCTAAGTGGTTGCACATGGAATGAATAAATAAACAAATTTTTATAGCACATACAGCCAAGCCTGGTCAGGCATACACACTATGAGGGTATTTATGACCAGGCCTTCCTCGAGGAAAAGAGATAATTATGTTGGTCCAGGTCACTGTTTAAGTCAGACATACATTAGTCTAAACTCCATGTGTGACCACCTCTTGTTAGAGACCACCTCCCATCAGCTACCTCAACCACTTTTTTAGCCTGATGTTTTAACCTCTGGTAAGCAACTGCTTGATACATGTTGTGGTCTCTTTGGACGCTGTATATTAATGTATGTACTATGCAACTTATGCCTAGTGTATATGTTCCAGGTGTAAATTATATATTTCAGGTTAAAATTTTTTCACCTAGGTTGATGCTCAAATTTCTTTGTCTCCTAGCCCTAAGTCATGAATAATTGGGGCTAGGAGACAAAAGGAAACTGGGAATCAACCAAGGTTAAAAATTTTAACCTGAATATAATTTTGACCTGTAACATATATAAAGAACTTTCAGTAAGAAAATGAAACTATTCTCACTTCATACACAATTGGCCCGTGAGACAGGAAATAAGAAACTCCTTTAAATTCCATGGTGTCGGGCCTGCGTGCTATTAGCATGATGCATTACGGCACTTGCTTAGAATTGCTTGGTTTTTGCCCACCTCTGGGCCAGGTTAACAGAGTTCAGTCGAAGTGACTTCAAAGTTTTGCCCCTCCCACCTACCCTGGTGGTGGTTGACATCGCATACCCTCATTATTCGGCATGATTATTGTCCTGGTAGTTGTAGTTTCCTCCCATAACATAGTACCCCGTAACGGGACAAAGGGTATGGGGTGCGAATATTATACTACACGTATATGTTACAGGTCAAAATTTTTTAACGTAGGTTGATTCTCATTTTCCTTTGTCTCCTAGCCTTAATTATTCATCAAATAGGGCTTAGAGGCAAAGGAAATAGAGAATCAACCCAGGTTAAAAAATTGTACCCTTGGCCGAGTTGTTCAAAGCTGGGTTAAGATAACCCAGGGTAAGTGCGAGATTTGAATTCAAATTTGAAAGCTTAAAAAGCATTTCAGTTTTAATTATTTTTGTCTACAAGTTGTTGATTGAAAGCTCTAAATATAACAGAGAAAATTATCAGAAGAAATGCTTTTGAACACAAGAAAGAGAAACCCGGGTTAATCTCTAATTGGCCTTCGAACAACTGGGCCCTGAATTTCATTTTGACCTGTAACATAAGCATAACTTAGAAATTGCATACAGTGAATTCTCTGCCAAAGAGTAGACATGTTGGGAACTCTTCTCAGATGAGACCCCCTGTGGCTGGATTGTCATAAGTGACCACCTCCAGTAAGTGACCACTAAATCTCTGCATTTTGGGTGGTCATTTAAAGGAGGTTTGACTGTATTTTTCTTTACATACTATGCACCTGTTTTTCTGCTGCAAAATGATAGTTTTTGGTAATAATTCGTTTGATCTGTCTGGTCATCATGTCTAACTCCAGGTAGGATTTCGTTGGGTGGGGGACATTTTAGTTGGACTGACTTTTACTTGCAGTTCTGCTCTAATCTCACCTGTTTCATCATCAGTAATAATATCCCTGTCTTGTGGTGCCATTGCTGGCTGTCTTAACTCACAGGGTAGACCATTATTTGCTTGACTGTAGAAAGTGACCAGATGTTCAAGCTTGCTGAAAGCCTGAGCTAACACACCAGGGACAGCCTTGAAATAAAAGTAACAGATGTCTCTTTACTGACTATTAAGGCTAATCATTGCTGATGTCATTGAATATGTATATTTTGGTTTTAACTAGCATACCCGTTTGAGTTTCAGTATTGGTGTTTGACTTATACAGTATTTTCCCCATTTGAATAATGCCCCTGGCAGAAGTTTTGCATAGTACTTTTTATTTATTTAGTTAGTTTTTACAATTTTTTTTGTTTTGTTTTTATGAAGTATTCCTTTAGCTACTAGAAGGTATGAAAAGGTCTGATTACAAGACTGTGCTCTAAGAAAAATTGAAGGAAGCCCAGTGCTCTGAAGTTATGTGAAATCCAGGGCACCAAGCATTAAGATTTGTATGAAAAAAACTAAGATTTTCTTGTCGTCCAGGCAGCAAAAGTTAGGTACCACAGGCCTGGGCACTGCTAGAGCACAAGCCTTGGATTATGATTATGGGTCAGGTAAATATCTAAATAATACGTGAATTGAACCAGCTCAGAGCTGCCATGTTTAGAGGGATTGGAAGCAGAATACATGAGCAGGGTGTTACTTGGTTTGTTGGGTTTGCAGGGCTGGCCCGACAAGCATGATTGCATGGAAAATTTCCTACTTGATCATTGTGTAATCATGAAGTCGATAAATGTCCTACTTGATCATTGTGTGATCATGAAGTCCACTTTCATTGTGTTTAATGGCCCTAATGCATGATAACCGGTATGTCAGATCAGCAAATTTCACCACCAAGTCTCCACAGCCTCTTTCAAGTGAAAAAAACTGTTTACATTCAGCATTTTCTGCTAATGAAGTCAGACATGTTGCAACTGACCTGCATGTAGAAAGCTCCATTGCTTTCACTTCGTAAGATTCTGTAATGGTGGATTCTCCCCTCATGTCTACAAAATGGTATTATTTAAAGTGCATAAGTGTGCATTTAACTGGAGGAGTTCAGATCAAGAATGAAACCGACTCAATCCAAAATTTCTTTAAAAATGTTAAAATATGCAAAACAGAGCTCTAGTTTATTTTCAAACTGTGTTCCTAAAAGGAAGAAACATTTGATTGAAACTGAAACATAGGGAATATAATTAACTTATGAGATTCCTAAAATGTAAACCTGTAAAATGATATGACAAATTTTAAGTTTTCCTGTTAAATACCAAACACTTCTCTTGTCAACTGCCTAGAAGCGGATTTCGTTAATATTTACTTGATACAGCAGCTTAATTAAGCTTAACTACAGTCTAACAGGCCAAGTTAATATCCGCAACATTAATATTCAACCACAAGCACTTTTTTTATCAGAAGTTTAATAGACCGAGACATGAATGGACTGAACTGGAAACTTCTACATACGCAGTGACGCAGTGCAATATTCAAATATACTTACAATAAAGAGAGGGTGTGTGCATTGGAAATACTTTCGCTGTCTCGGATAATAAAGGCACCATTTTTGCCGGAGCTTAGAAGCAACTCCTCAGCTCGCAGCCTGCTGATACTTGGAAGATGCCACGGAAATGACATGAAAAAGCCAGCTATGTCACTTCCTCTTTGATATTGTTCACCTTACATACGGCATCGTGATATTGAGTAACGAAAGTAAAAACTAAACAAATGCACCCGCAAGAATTCACTTCCCTGTGGAAAGTCTCAGATTTATGATCGTTCCCAGGGTTCATATCGCAACTTCATGAAGGAAAATTCATATATGCATAAGCAACGTAGAATCCAACTCGTCAGAAAGCCGCTGATCAAAGTGAATATCGCTGTTGTCATTTTGGCCGAAGTTTTGTATTTCATCAAGAAAGGTGGCGAGAAAGGAATAATTTTCGCCTCGAATTACAGTATCAGTGGCGAAAGGAAACTCATAAATAGGGAAGCGAAAATAAAACAGGTATTTTACTTTCGGTGTACGTAGTCATAGCGGACATTTGTTTCGCTTTCATGCAGTTTGCGCGTCCTTCGCTTTCTAATCTTTTCATCGTCATTTTTTTTATAGGGTTCTTACATGGATGGATGATTGCCCTGAACAAGAAGGCCCTGGGGTAACCCGTACAAAAAGGTAAGCTTCGTTGTATTATGTTAGCCTTGCACTTAACATCACAATGTTTGGAGGTTGAAGTTACTTTGTGATTCATTGCAATGAAGAGGAGTCAACAGATGTGTTTGTTAGACAAGGCTTTGAGCCCGCAATGGATTCACGCAGGACTTGCTACAATTTCACTTTGCATTTCGATCACTGGAGAGATTTACATCCTGTATAGCGCCATTGTGCATGTAATAAGGTGAGTTATTGAAGGACCATTTCGGCGAGTTTTGAAGAGAAAAGGTAAATTTATGGTGCCGAAGACTGCTTACGCTTATGTTTACCAGCTCATACACAACAAAGAGAGTCTACATTACAGAACGTGGAATAATAATGTGCAACTTTTCATAACTAATTATTGTAATCAGTATTATTAACGTCCTTCCTTTAAAGAATGTTATCTGTTGGGAGAATCCATTTCCTATCTGACTGGTTTCTGGTAACAAGAATGTGCTGACATGGCAGCATCACATTTCATATGTCTTTAATAAAAAAAAGGCTATTGTTACTCATTGCAGTGAAATGCAATAATAATAATAATGATAATAGTAATAATAATAATGATAGTATTGTTGGTCTCATGACTTGTGATTTAAGTAGCTATTAGTATTATTATTTTGTCTTCTTGCCACTATTCTTCATGGGGGTAACTGGTGAAATTGCCTGTAAGTCATCTTGTCCAAAGTAATGTCGCCTGAAACCAGAGCTATGTTGTCTGAATTTTGTTTATAACTTCTAATTCAGGATTTTGGGCAACTTATATATTTTTTTATTTTTTATGGTCTCATGACTTGTGATTTAAGTAGCTATAATTATTATTATTTTGCCTTCCTGCCACTATTCTTCATCAGGGTAACTGGTAAAATTACCTGAAAGTAATCTTGTCCAAAGTAATGTTGCCTGAAACCAGAGATATGTTGCCTGAAATTTGTTTATATCTTCTAATTCAGGATTTTGGGCAACATCTATATTTTTTATGTAACCCGAAATCCTGAATTATGTTGGCTGAACTTTTTCAGAGAGAAAAATTCACAGAGAAACAGAGTGGAATAAAGCAGTGTAAGCCATGATGAGACAAAACAAGCGCCATTTTAAGCCAAGATGTGATGAACAAGGGCGATAAAATATGCAATGTATCTTGTCCTTTAAGCCTTTTGTGTAAATTATAAGGGTAAATGTTCTAAAAGGTTTGGGATGACTCGATATCTTTCTGAGACAAAAGAAAGCGATGGGAGGAATGTACTCCATTTCATAAAACACAGAATTTTCCACCATTTGATCCCAAGAAAGATGAATAAAGTTTACTTACTGTTTGCTTTTAGTGTTATCTATTGCATTTTGTTTGTGGCACTTTGAGTCTTCTTGAAGTTAGTGTCACTGGCAGCCTACATGTACATAAGAAAACCACAAGGCATGCAGCTTCTGTGACACCATCAGCTGAATACTTGCTGATTTTTTCCAGTTTTCTCACACTTCCTTGCATCCCTTGCCATCCCTCCTCAGGAAAGTGAAAGCCAGACAGTTTGCAAAGTTCCGTGCTGAAAATCACAGAATTTGCAAGGCTCTTAAGTCACTTAAAAAATTTTTTTCTTAACCTGCGTAGCAAGTGTTTGCGATAGGGTTAATGCGTGAAAGTTGGAGCAAGAGCAAAAAATGGAAGAAGTTGGGGTTTGCGGGCAAGCTTTTCCTTAATTTTCACCCCTCCCCTTCATTCCTCTTTTTGCCTTCTCAATTTTCTTGACCAACTCACATGGAAACGCTTGTAATGCTAAAGGATTGACTTAAAAATAGAAAAATATTGATCATTTTTTTTCTCTCAGAAGCAAGCTTCAAGGTAAAAGAAAGGGGTCATCTAATCAAAGTTCTTCCAACGAGGTGGAAAACAAAAGGTAAATTTAGAGTCATGAGTTTTCTTTTACCATTTTACGATGCACACTGTCAATCAACAAAAAAAGGTTAGGGGTTGGTGAATTGAATTGAATTGAATTGAATCTAAAGGATGGTTGAGGGTTACACAGAGCGGCAAATGAGTGAGTGAAAACCACCAAACCCCACCTTCCAAGATCCTGGGATTATCAAAATGGAATGTGAATTTGGGAACTCTCAATAACTTTTAAGAAAAATTTCTGGTTTTCTAAGTTCCAGGGACCATACATATTAGCTGTTAATATTGCCTTTTGTGTTACATTTATGTAGATCCAAACCCAGTCTAGCTGGGTGGTCATCTTCAACAACTCCTAAGCGTCAGTCAAGTGTAAACTGCTCATACAAGTAAGTGACAGTCAATAATACTACTATTTTTTTTAGAATTTTCTGCGAAAAGAGTTTACCTGGTAACAAGAACCCCGTTTGCTGTTATGGCCTCATGAACTGATGTTCAGTCTGTATTTCTCAATTCTGCTCCATGTTTAGAGCGGTATACGTCACACTATGCCCTAATTTCCACCTTTGTGACTGGGCTGAATGTCAGATGTCAACTGGTACATGTATGATTTGCAATGAATCTTATGCCCAGAGATTTAACCACAAAAGCTTCATGAGTAAAATAATTTTGATGTAAAAACACAATGCCCTTACTACTTGTTTTAATAGTAGTTACAGTACCCCTCATAAGTATGTCACAGTTGAGTCTTGTTTTCTGCACTATGAGAATTGCTTCATGCAAGGATCAGTGAAGCTGCATATTTTGGCATAATCATCAACAATCTGTCCTGCCCAAAACCAATCAATTTCTGCATTATTGTTGGCTTCTTTTTGGGAAATTTTCTTTGAAGTTCTCATCAGGACAGCATTTCAGCATAGATGTGATTGCCTAGTTTTTAAACTTTCATTTATTGTTACAGTTTAACTAACTGCTGACATAAGTGATGCTAATCTAATTTCTTTACTGATTTAGTTTAAGGTCTCGCAGTTCTTCTGTGAGCCCTCGGACCAGCACCAGTGATTGTGGAATCCACAGGTAACATTCACTTCTTTTGATTTTAGCAATCAAATAGTAAGATTATGGTGAAGGTTTTCCTCACTCATCTTTACTTGAGTGGTATCGTTGACAGTCTAGTAGTAGTGGAAGAAAGTGCCAGGCTACACTGCTAGGCTGTAAACGAGGTTAAAAGTAAGAGTACATAGACAGTGAGTTAAAACAAGTTATAGCTATCTGTAAGCGCCAATGAGCAACAATTTTACCTAAACGCCCACGCTGTTTAATTTGTTTAAAAAGGTCATTAATTACCGAAACAATAAAAAATTGCTGCGGGCAAATGCGACAGATGCCCGGTATGCATTACGTCATGAAAGTTACCGCACACTACCTTATGTTACGTCACTTCGAGATTCATTCTGCCTTGGAACTTTTGCACACGTCTTTATTAGGCTGTCGCCTTGCAGCCTCACATCTTCACAAGGCTGCTTGTTGGCAATAACTACATTTGTATGCAAGCTCTTCATGATCATTTTTGTTTCCTCCTCATTCAGTGTCCAACAAGTCGTCCAGGAGAAGCAGACTTTAGGCAACAAGCCTGTTATTGGGTCATCATCTTCGTCAACTGTTGGCAACTCTGAGCAAACTCAGTCCTTGTCATCATCTGCAGGCCATTCAGCACTTTCCAAACCTTCATTTACTTTTTCAAACAGTTCTGCAGCCATTGGTAACTCATCATCAAGCTCCAAGTCTTCCTCCCGTGGGAGACGTGCCACGTCATCATCATCTCTGTCTGATAAGACCACAGAAACAAGCCAATCCTCATCCTGTTCTTCTCGTCCACAATCACGAAGTTGGAGAAGAAGTGACCCGCCTGAGCCGGGCATAGGCTTAAGGCGGTCACAGAGGCTTAAAGAGACAACGGGATCCTGTGCTAGTAACAGGTATGAAATGTTTATGTGAAAACCAAGGTGCCAAACATTTTCTATCCCTACCCTCCACCCTCAAACCATGTGGGGCCAAGGAACTTGATCCTCACACTGCATGACTTTGCCTTTGTAATGGCAACAGAAAGCAAAATTGGTCAGATTGATTGAGCACTAATATTATTGATTGGTTTATAAACAAACTTTTGCTATGACAAGAAAGTTCCAGAAACAACTAAGCTTAAACAATGTTGCAGTCAACCTAAAAAGCTACTTGTATGTTCAGATGGAAGATTCTTCCTAGTTTCAGTCTCACAGATCAATCAAATTAACTTAATCCTCATTGTTATAAACAAGCTTCTTACTCGGGCTTTATATACACATTATGAACACGTATAAACTCTATTTTGTTTTTTAGTCGGCGTGGGCCACAGGGGAAAAAGCAGTCGTGGACACGCCGGCAGACTTCCAACATGTCAGTAGACAAGTATGTACTGTATTATTTTAACGGAAAACCAATTCATTCAGCCAAGGATAAAAAAATACTGAATACCCTACTAGCTAGTTAATTCTAGTTAACTACATGTAAATCAAAGGTCTCCCTTTATTTTTTCCCCTCTTTTTTTCCATGACAGAGCACATGTAACATAGTTTTCATAATTGTCTTGATCATAATTATTGTAATTCTAACTTCTCAAGCTGACTTGTCCCCAGTCGTCTCTCATTATTAGTATTTGGCGTGGAAGACTAGAATGAAGAACGAACTGGAACAAAGGGGATGATGGGAAGGAAGAAGAGATGACCAAGGGGATGAGGGGAAGGAAGAAGCCTTCCCATCTTCCCCGCACGCATAACCCAAGCACTTCCCTAGTAAATAATTAATGAGTAGAGACGACTGGGGACAAGTCAGTTTCTCAAGTGTTTACAGTGACTATAAGCAATGTGCTTTTGAGAGGTGGGGCAATATGGTGGGTTACATTAATTTTTGTTCGTGGCACTGGAGTTTTAATCTGATGCTTGACTTTTAAGCGCGGCCTGGGTCCAGATGCTGGACATACAATAATGGCTATCATGTTGCAATATTATTTTATCCCACTTAAACTCTTTGTTTATAATGCCAGACATTGGTGGTTGCTTCTGACTTTTTTTAAGTGACAGAGAACTTTTGGAATCAGAGTTGTTAACAGAAGCATGTAGTATTTTTATTAAGTGAAAAAGAGCATTTCATTTCCACTTGTAACTTTGTGGCTTACAGTCCATTGAAAACTAGTCAAGATTGTTGAGGTTGTGAGCCGAAGCAGAAGAACTAAACCAACCACAATGTGTGGTTGAAGGGCATTCCGATTTGTATATTTTTCTGCTTCTGCTTTCCACTCCAGTAATCCAGTTTTCATAAAACTGTAAACAAAAGACTGAGTCACATGTGGAGAGGGAAAAAAAGCAGAAATGTTCTGATTCTTGCAACTCTGCTTCTGTTGAGCCTATGACTGGGTTCACCACTCTGGTTTTTTTTTTATTTTCACTGGGTCTTAAGCACTATTTTGACTCCAATTATTACCATTTGAGCCATAACAGTAACATTCACCCTGTATGCTGTAGTTACGTGTATGTCAAATGTCCAAGCTTAAGTTATAACTTTAAAAAGCTAATATCATTTTTTCTATATTTCTTTAGTGAACCTCAAGATCCTGGGTCTTCAGATGCAGGTATGAACTGTACATACATGCTCACAGTAACTTGTACATGTACATCATTGTCCTGTATAGAGTATAATAGAAGTTTTCAATGAATAAACAGGTTTTCTCATGGAGGGGAATGATGACCCCCTGTTATCAGTGTTAGAAAATATCAAGCATATACCCTCCGAAGATACACTTTCCAAAAATAAGCCCACCGAATTACAATACTTAGTGCTACACTAGTTTAAAGACTGTGAGTAGCCAGATGGTTTTGTCTTTGATTTCATATACTACAGTTCTGTAAAAAAATTGGCTTGTTGCGTAAAGAGTTCTTTTTTTCAAGAAAATGACTGTGTTATATATTTACCACTGTTTTTACTTTTTGCAGCTCGTGGCAGTGTTGAAGACTCTGCAGCTCCATCCTCCAGCGGTAGATTATTACATATCAATTTTTGTAACTATAAATCTGTTATTTCAGAAAATATTTATTCTCCGCCCCCACCCTCCCGAGGGGTTTTTTTTTGGCTTGAACCCGCCTCCCATCTCCAAGCTCCAGTTTTTCTTCAGACTTCCCGTTAAACAAATTTCCCTGTCCATAGTTTCTGGAAACACAATTTCATTTACATTGCTTCCTGAAATTAGGGGTTGTAAAATTATATTCAAAAATACAGGTCTTGCAAAACTTTTTAATTATTGAATATAAAAAATAACAAATTTTCCTTTAAGTAGATGCCATTACTTCTTTTCATTTTACCTGACCAAGTAAACATGTTATAGTGTTCTTTGGATTTTCAAATGGTGGCTTAGACACCATGATCCCTTTTTTGCATGGCCAGTGGCTGTAGCATGTACATGTAACAGGTTACTTTAATTTACTACTACAGGAGAGGCTTCCAGAAATGAGATGGAGGGGTCTGGCAGCCTTGAAGACTTGGAATTAAAAGATGGAGAATTGTCAAGACTGCAAGGTCAGACATTTTGATAGTGATTGTAAAGTTATTTGTTAATAATAGTAGCAAAGAATATGCATTAAGTGCAAATTCACAGGAGAATACAAATTCCATTGACAAATACAGGCATGTCGTGACCCCAAAAGAATTATTTTCGGAGAGCAGCACATTCCAAACATTACAAGGGAGGTACATGATATGTAACAACAGGGAAGTAGATAAGTGGTGGCTGACAGCAACATGCAAAGAAAGTCATGTTTGATATCCCAGGGTAGTGGATTTTGCTATCGGGCTAGTGATTTTTGTCCTTAACTTTCCTGACGGGGAAGTGCTGTTTTTTTGGGAAATTCAAATTACAGAAGGATTGTAACCAATTCTGCTAATCAAAAAGGGTTTGGGGGCTAGTTGAAATGACTTGTGGGCTAGTACGTGCTAGCTACAGCTTGCCCAAATGGCAGGCTGTAAAACTGACTTTCTTTGCACCCTGTGACAGCAAAATATAAGCTAATTAATTTCACTGCAAATCAAAGACATGGTGTTTTCATGGTGCACAGTTAAGTATAACTAGTCTAACAGAATAGCCTTCTTAGCTCTTACTTACACTTATGCTTTATTCCTGGATTTAAAGTGTCTCTTCCTATGGGCGAATATATAATGCAGGCACACCTTTTTCCTGGTCACATACAGAGTAGACAGTAAATTTCCTACCATTCCTTTCTGCCACCATGCAAGAAGTTATTTTTAGGGCATTTTCTGCAAAGCAAGTTCTCGTCATGTATTTGTTCTTGTTGTTTCATTGTAGCCCTTTTGGAGGCACGTGGTGTGCCATCTCATCTGATTGGCTCACTTGGACCACGGATGCATCAGCTCTTGCATAGAACTATCAGCTCTGGTTCAGGTAAATATGTCAATGGTACAGCAGATTCAATGTCATAGTTTGTATATTTTGAATTATGAAATAGTTTTTGAATGATTTTTCCGACAGCCTGTGTGCTCAAGGCTGTGCTCTAAGAAAAATTGCCCAGTGCTTTGAACCTGTGAAATCCCGTTGTTCAGCATATATTTTTTTCTGAAATCAAAACTAACATTTCCTAGTCACCCAAGAGCAAAAGTGAGGCACCTGGGGCTACCGGTCATTGCTGTAGCATAGCCCTGAACTGTAAATTTAAAACTGAGTGATCACTATGTTTATTTAAATCAATCATCTTGCCCAACGCCTAGGTGGTAAAGTTCAACAGATGTTGACAGGGATCCAGTCATCAGATGAGGGACAACAGCTCCAGTCTGTTATTGAAATGTGCCAGGTAATGACTGAGGCAGGAAAAAATCCAGATTAGTCTTCTGTTTGTAATTTGTCTGTAATTATTTAATGCAAAAATAATAGAAAGTCTAGGCCAAACAAAATTGTGTTCTTTATATACAGGCTTTATATACTTGCCTTAGCTTAAAATGACATGCACTTACTTTATTCAGTGCCAAATCTGTCTGTTAGTCTAAGGAGACTTTCCAAAAGTCAGAACTGGCCGGTTGAACCATGGCCGGACGAGCTATTTTGAAAATGAAATAGGCTTTTTCCAAGAGCTTTTTCCATCTCGTGCATACTATTTAGGTTTTGACTGATCTGGCTGGATAGTTTTGATTAAAAGTGAAATTCTCATTATGACGGGAATTGTCTGGCCGGTCAGGTCTGACAAATGGAAAGTGCTCTAAGTGTATGCAAGCAGAAACCCATAAGGGGTTGAAACGTGTAACTCGCGTTCAGTGCTCGTGAATATTCACTTTTACCATATTTGAAACCTTAGTGACGGATAACCGTCGTGTCCAGGACATGTTTATAACTATAAACGCCTGTTTTCAAGGCACCGCCCCCACATGCATTAAGGAACTTGTTGAAATGAGAAACAACAAGTACGATTTAAGGGGCAATAATACGCTATCACTGCCAAAAGTAAATACTACAAAGTATGGATTAAACTCCTTTAGATATTTCGCCGCAAAACAATGGAACAGTATTCCAAATGAATTATGTTTAAGAGCTGGAGGTCTAGAATTTAACAAACAAGTGAGGAACATTCAATTTTAGTTATCTAATTTTGAAATTTTAGATGCTAGATATTTTATAATTATATATATATATATATTTTTACATTTCTATGTACATATTTTTTTTTTCTTTCTTTCTTAATATTGATTTGTGGAAAACCTGCAAAATAGCTTTAGCTAAGTGTTTCTCCCACGTTAAATAAAGATTATGTTATGTTATGTTATATCCATTTTCAACAAAATGGCTGCTGCGCGATCACCATGCAGATGTTTTAAGACAAGAGTTCTGCATTTCAAAGTTAAAAATACACCGTTAAAAGACAAAAAATGGAAAGAGAAAGTTAAAAAGAATGCTCAGCTTTCTTTTTGTGGAGAAAGGGAAGCTTTTCATCAAGAAATCGTCCTTCGAGGAATTCAACCTTGTTTTCTTCACGGCGGAGCCCACGGTCTGTTTTGAAATGCAACCAAGTTAGTGAAGTTTTTGCTGAATTTTCAGGTACATTTTGCACTCTATGGCCAAGACAATTACGTTTTTGAAAGGGAATTTATGTATTTTTAAATGTTTCATAGACGTTTTATAAATTTTTCTCTTCGGCGCTAAAGAAAAATTACAAAATGTGCCCTGATTTGAGATGGATTTTGTGTTGAATTTGCCATGTGCTTAGCCGATTTCACTTGCGTGAACTGATCCACGATCCAGATACTGTTTTCCGAATTGCTTTAAAGAATTAACTTTTTGAAAAATTTTCAAGAAACGGCTTCTCTGTCGATTGTTTTGAGTTTGTTCATTCAGAAAATTAGTTCAAAACACGATCGTGACTACAACATCCAAGTTTAATTTAAGCTTTTAAAATGCTCCTCACATTCATTACAAGCATCACTTTTTGCGAAGATGTCAGGTTCAGGTTTTGGACACTTTTCGATACGCAGCTAATGAATTTTATTAGAAAATAATTTGACTGTTTATTCTAGACTTTTAACAAAACAATTTTAAAAGCCCATTTGCAGTATAAGTTTACTTACAGAGGGTCAACAAGGCATTGTTTTTTGAAGTGACAACTTCAAGAAGTTGCAAAGCCGTCAGTGGGTTTCATAATGTTATGTTTGGCCCGGGTGGTAAGGCAATAATATCCTGCTCAGTGTTTCGGTAATATTCCTGGTTTCAACCTTTGAAAGCTTTCTCGGCTTTCGGGAGTTTTTCCCCTGTTTGTCGGGCATTTTTTTAAGCGGGCGCGGGAACCTGAAGGAAAATTACGTCACATTGTTTACGAAGTTTGATTGGTCAGTTATCTCTTCTTCTCGTTCCAAATATGGTACTTTCGAAAATGAATAATCACAAGCATCGGACAAAGCAAACATATGAGAGTTACACGTTTCAACCCCTTATGAGTTTCTGACGCAAGTGGATAATAATAATTCATCAGTGGCACATCTCCCATAATACACCCTATTCAACCCCCAAAATTGTGGATAACCTTTGTTGTTGATTTCTCCAGGGTATTACAGTCATCCCAAGAGAAATTGAGACAATAGTGGGTGGGGAAGGGGGTGAGCAAACAAGGTGTATTATGGGAGATGTGCAAATAGCAAATTGTATTTTTTTCTGTTTATTTAAGTGTTCTTTATGTACACCCATAAATGTATTGTGTTTTTCCTCTCCACTATTATCCTTTAGAAGCTCCCCTTTATAGAGGTTTTGTCAATTTGTGTCTTAATTTGCTCTTTGTTATAGTTCCTAGTGATGGGGAATGAAGAGAGCCTTGTTGGTTTTCCTGTGAAGCAAGTTGTGCCTGCACTAGTGAGTAGTCTCTCTCTATCAACAAATGAATGTCCACACTGTAGGCTAGTTTAAGGCTGATGTAGAGGATGTTGTACATTCTCCTTTTTGTTCCCTTGTAGAAGATCTTGAGGATAGTAAAGTTAGCTTTCAGTGACATTATTACTGAAGGAAAGCCAATCACATACAACAGGCAGGCAACCAATTGAACAAAACCTTTGCTGGAATGCAGTCACCAAGCAAAGAAAAACTGTTGCAAAAACAGGACAACTAAAACTAGAAATAAGTTTATGATCGGCACACCTATTTTCATTGTTATGATGAATTAATATTGTTTTTGTTGCATTTGATTCCATCAGATTAACCTTCTTTCAATGGAGCACAATTTTGACATTGTAAGTATATGAATTTCTCACTACACAGTGCAGCACTTAAAAACCCTAAGATCAAAATTTGAATTCTCATTTGGTACCCCTATTCATTTCCTACAGAAGTAGTGGAGAGAGTTTGATAAAATATCAAGCAAATTCATCTTGCATGATCTTGTCCATAATTCTCATGACCACTCTGTTCTGCAAAGTATTGATATTACAAGGAGAAATTTGATGCTGATCACTCTTAGGGCTTAAAAGGTTAATAAAAATATGAAAGTGGAGTGGGTGATACTACTTGACTTATAAAATTGGTGTCATGGAAGTGATAATGGTGATGATGATAATGATGCCGACGATGATGATGATGGTGGTGGTGATGATGATGATGATGATGATGATGATGATGGTGGTGGTGGTGGTGGTGATGATGATGATGATGATGATGATGATGATGATGATGATGATGATGATGATGATGGTGGTGGTGATGATGATGATGATGATGGTGGTGGTGATGATGATGATGATGATGGTGGCGATCATAATGATGATAGGAAAATGCATAATTTCCTTTTTATAACTCAGTCCAACTTTTTTTATACATGTATGTGTTATTTTGAAGTCACTTTCACATTTGGCTATGTTTAAATGTCCTTTAATCATGTGTTTTGGGTGTCCTTACCCTGTCGGTGTCTCCTGTGGGCACTTGTTGACTTTTTGAAATATTTGCAGATGAATCATGGCTGTCGAGCATTGACATACCTAATGGAAGCTCTCCCAAGATCAACAGCTGTAGTAGTGGAGGCAGTGCCTGTGTTTATAGAGAAGGTACATTTGTATGACCTCAGAAGCTGTGAATGGGTAAAAGGTTTTCAGGGGTTTCAATAAGCACCAATGACTGTCAAAACATGTCTATGTCAGCTACTTTGCTCAGAGAAGTTGGCTTTTTTTTCCGATAGAGGAAACAAGTAGTTTTTATAATGTCATAAAGAAAAAATATTTAGTCATAAAATCTGAATGAAACGTAATAATGACGTGTTTTCATAAAGGCCCCCTTGTTTTATATTATGCTTTTAGTTATGTGAAGGCTGTATTTCAGTCTGCAATTATTGACACGTTTCTTCATAGGTTTATGGGGAATTTGCTTTTCTGCAAATGTTTGTAATTAAGTTATTTTCATTTGATCATTGCTTGTGGGAGTTGCTTGTGTGGCTGATAAATCACCATGAAAAAGTGAAAAACACACTCTTTTCGGCACCCCAGAACGCTGGAAATCACATTGTAGGGCTTTGAAATTTCACAATTTTCTGGAGGAGCATGCCCCCAGACCCCCCAGAGAAAGTGGACCAACGGACTCTTCTACATACAGTAGGTTATTTCTTTATAAACCTGCTGGCTACTTCAATTTTTATCAAACCCCCTTGGTTATGATGAACCGGTTGGATTTCAGGAGCAAAATTATCAATTGCCATGTTGAGATGGTCATTGTTGTTGCCTCTTTTTTCTTCTTACTACATGTACAGAGATTGGTTTTTTTTCTAGATTCTCTTGTTATTTCCACTCTTTTAAAACCAACAATGTATGAATTTCACTAATAATTCCTTTTACATCATTATGGCAAAATTTTCTTTAAATTCTGTACTCCTTTTGATCCCAATTTTTCAAGGCCAGTTAGCACTAACCTGGGGTTAAATTTCAACCAAGGTTTCTTTCTTTTCATCAAAAGCATTTTCTTGTATTACTTTCTTTATTATATACTAAAACAGTGAATAGTGTTTTTCACACGCTCTGATTGGCTACTCAATCAGTGAATATCCTGCACTATACACTGATTTACCTCCAGTTCCTCCAAGAGAGCGACGCCAGACTCACGTAGGTTGCGAGCAAAATGCTTTCCCGGTTTGCTGCCGTAACAAACTAAGAAATTTCACAACTAATCAAGCGAGCTATTTCCGAAATACATGAAGAAGGTGACGAAGTTCGGTTTGGAAGTTTTAACAGGTAAAGCTTTGTCTTTTTGACTTGAATAGTTCTTGATAAAACCGGTGAAAAAGTTTTTTGTTTACAAATGCAAATTAAGCTTAAGTCTTGTGTTACTTTATTTAGTTGACTTGTTCATAAGTAAATAAATTTAATAATCTTTTTCACAGGATTATTTTAAATACAAACAGAATTCACAACTCCTTTTGAAGAAACTTCCCCGCAAGAGCTAAACAAACCCCTTCAAAAGTTTCATTTGTCACTAAGAAAAAACGACGGCCGCGGCCATTCGGTCATCGCACACCAAAATTGTGATCGTTGGCAACAGTAAATGAGTTTAAAATCATCATTTTGTGCTCAATTATCTCACTGTTTTAGTATATACTAAAACAATTATTCACCTCAGTGTCAGTGGCTAGTAATGGATATTTACCTGGCCGCTTCGGGGCCTCGGTAAATATCCAATACTAGCCACCTCTGCTTCAGTGAATAATTGTTATATATTCTCTTTGAAGTATCCAGTCATCGAATTGCAGACAAAAAGAGTTAAAGTGAATTTGCTTTTCAAGCTTTCATATCTGAATTCAAATTTCCCACTAACCCTGGGTTATCTTAACCCAGCTGAGCTTTGAACAACCTACACGTGTAGCCCTGGTGTGCAGCCATTTTATGCCTTTAAGAAGTAAACAAACTGAAATGATAACTTCACTTTTATTTTATGAAGCTTCAAGTCATCCAGTGCATGGATGTAGCAGAACAAGCACTGACTGCTTTAGCTATGCTGTCCAGGAGACATGGAAAAGCAATTTTACAAGCAGTAAGTATTTACTCAGGCAGCATGCAATGAAAGTAGTGTCGGATAACCTGGAGCTAATGGATTTTGCTATTGGGTTAGTGAATTCTGTGCATAACTTGCCCAGTGGGCAAGTGAAGTATTAATGAGAAATTCAGCTTACAGAAGAACTGTGAAATCATTTCTGCTCATCTAGAAATTTGGGGGGCTAGTTGAAATGACGTTTGGGCTAGTAAATGCTAGCTTCAGCTTGCCTGAATGGCAAGCTGTAAAATGAATTTCTTTGCACCTTGACTCAGGCCCTGTTAGGGTAAAATTAGGCTTGCAACAGGGACTTAAGGCAAATGAAATTGTGACAAATGACGTGAAGATCAGTTGAAACTGTGACAGCTACAAAGAAAATCTCAAATACAGTAGTTAAATTCCAACAGCAAATGGCAACATGGCCTCCTCCTCAATACACAAAATGACCGTTTTTGAAATTCAGACTAGAGACAAACATATAAGTTCCCCAATAAGAGGGCCTCTTTTCTACTGAATCATTAAAAAATAACAGAATGGTTAAAACTTGAATCAGTTGGTACAGTTTTTTCTAGTTGAAATTCATTTCCATCCTGCACAACAAAGGCCAAAGAAAGGCCTTAATAGTTTGGCTAGAGAAGTAGAATAACTACTACAAAAAACATGTGGCAAACATGGTAGGAGCATCCAGGTTTTTAGATTGGAAAAGATGGCTTTAACAAATATTAGAGTGTGCTTTTTGTTGAGTTCATTTTGCTGTGTTATCTCTTCTTTAGGGAGGAATGTCAGCCTGTCTGTTGTTTTTGGACTTCTTCTCAATATCAGCACAGGTATGATTCAGATACAGTTGTATAGAAAAATAACTATTAAGAATCAGTGGTCTTAAGTCTAGTCCTGCTCAATGCCTTCTTCTGATGTTGATTTCTTTCAGTTTTACTGTGCAGTGCCCTTAATCAAAGTTAACTCGTCTACAGTACAGCTATTTAATTTAGTTAAGATCACATTCTTGTTAATACATGCAGTCTACAATGTTATATTGATATCTATAGATTCTACTAAGTTTGCTGTACATTGACAGATAATTGACAGAAAACCTCTGTTCAACATTGTTTTTGCCACATTTGAACAGGTGCACAGGGGTAGCTGAGAAAGTGATGCATAATATAATCAAATCTTCTCTCTTCTCTGTTTTCAGAGGTCAGCCCTGTCAGTAGCTGCCAACTGTTGCCATAGTATTGGTGTTGGTGACTTTCATCTGGTTGCTGATTCTATCCCAATCTTGAGTGGAAGATTACAACATCAGGTAGAACAAAATACTTATAGAGCTGCAAACAACAGTTGGTCATTGGGGAATATCTGACCAGCTTGGAAAAAAAGTAGTGTCTGTTAACCTGGTACCAGTGGATTTTGCTATCAAGCTAGTGAATTCTGTTCTTATCTTGCCCAAAGGACAAGTGAAGTTTTGGGGGGAATTCAAAGTGCAGAAAAACTGTAATCTGTGCTCATCAAAAATGTTTTTCAGGCTAGTTGAAGTGACTTTTGACCAGTACATGCTAGCTACAGCTTGCCTGAATGACAGCCTGTAGAACTGACTAAGATTTGCCCATTGTCTGACAAAATCCTATTTGTATTTGGACTTGATAACCAGATTATAACCAGACAGGTCAAAATACAAATGACTATCATTATGAAGCTGTATCTTTATAGTCAATATTTGTAATGAACGTTGTATGCCTGGCATTTTTTTAGTTTGTCTGACCAAAATGGTGACATTTTCAGACAGAAATCAAAGTGGACAGATGGTGAATTGTTGTTTGAGGAAATTTTATAAAGTCATAACTTTTCACCAGTGGAATGCCTAATTAAAACTGATCTTCTATCAAATTCTTTTACCTAAAATATGGAAATCAAACCGGGTTATTTTGGTGTAGAGGTTGGGGTTTAAAGGGTCACTGGTAACTCTGCCATTGTTTGCAGGATAAGAAGTCAGTGGAGAGTTGTTGTGTGGCATTTTCAAGACTTGTAGAAAGCTTTCAGACAAATGAGGTGAGTCATATTTTTCATTTCCCGGTTCTTTTCTGTTTTTTTTTCTCACAATTCCATCTTCTTCTAGATGAGATCAGAAAGCAGATTATTGTACTGGTAGTTAATTTTTTATCAATGTATTTCAGAAACACCTTGGGGAACTTGCTTCTCATGGCCTTCTCAACAACTTACAACAGTTGGTGAGTAAACTATTTCTCATGAATTGTCAAAGTACCATTTCAAACTTTATAACATCTTTCAACTTACCAGTTACAAAGAAAATCATCCTCATGGCTGTACTGTTAATCCCTGTGGGCCTTAAGCTCCGAGCTTTTTTCAACTGCCTTATCACGTCAGATTTTAAAGTTGCAAGACACTGGAGATCCTGTGACTTTTCAAGGGCTCAACCTTGGCACTGTCTGAGCTATCACAAAATATATGTTGCTATTAATTTTTTATTTGAGTTAATTTTTGTTTTTCTTTTGTGTTAAATTCTTTAGCATACATTACCTTACCCAAAAACGATGGAAAAATTAAAAATTAACTGAAATAAAAAGTTAACTACAACATGATACATTGTAAAGTAAACTTTTTCTTAACTCAAAGCTGGAGATTAATGCATTGATCTGAAATTATTGCTTTAAATTTTTCTGTGTCAAGTTTTCCCTTATTTTATGTCATGTTTTCTGTTTTTTTTTTCAACATAGCTGATGATGACTCCACCAGTCATTAGCACTAGTACATTTGTGATGGTTGTCCGCATGTTGGCCATGCTGTGCAACAGCAGCCCAGCCATAGCAGTACAGCTTCTAAGGCAAAGTAAGTCACTCAGTGATATTAATAAACAGCTTTGCTGAATACATTTTGTTTTAGTGGTCACACCAAAGTATTTCATTCAGACTCCAAAGTTAGAACTACATGCTTAAGAAATAGTAGCATGTGAAAGTACTGCTGAAGAGGTTTCATTTGAATAGTAACGCCTTAGGATTTTGTCCACGGACTCAAAAGTTAGAACTACATTCTAAAGAAATACATGTGAATGTACTACTGAAGAGGTTTTGTTTGAATAGTCACACCATAGGATTTCATCCACAGGCTTAAAAGTTAGAACTACATATTGTAAATAAATAGTACCATGTGAAAATACTGCTGAAGAGGTTTTATATGGGTTGAATGGTCACAGAATCGCTTTTTGTTCACAGACTCAAAAGTTACTGTTGATATTTATGATTATTGGGTGACATGCAAAATGAAGTATTTGTGTGGCTATAGATGATACTCAAATTAGGGGAAAAAGGATCAGTAACAGTTTTTTTGAATATTGTACTTTATTGTGATTCTGTTTCAGATGTATCAGACACAATTCTTTATTTATTGTTGGGAACCACAGAGCCTGCAGAGATAGAAAATGCAGAGGTATCTTTCATTAAAAAATAAATAAATAAATAATAGCTAGAGTAATAATCAAAGGGAATGCGGGCGAAATAGATTGAAGGTGAAAACACTCTTGCCGTCTGTGCTGTTCTTTCTGTATGTTTTGCTTGATTGAAGGCCCATGATCAGATTGCAAGTGATAGAAGGTGCAAACGTGCATGCATTTGCACATTCTTTGCATTCCATTCATTCTTAGTGGAAGTCCAAACAAATGTGGGCTATAGATGTGCCACTTATGTGTAAAAGTGACCTGGTAATTAGGATTGCTGGCTCTGCAATTATTGGTGTTTACTTTTTCTCACTGTGTAAGGGTATAATAAAGTCAAAGCCAGTTACAGGATATGAGTGCAGGATTGTGCAGACTTTTTAAAACTTTGTAAGGGTGAATGAAACACAGTTAAGCCAATTGCTGGATTAGAGGGCAGGGATTGCGCAGATAGCAAGAGAGGAAGGCAGCACCCACTTAGCCTACAATACACAAGCCTTGTTGTGTTATTGAGCACTTTTCTACAAATCAAAGGATTTAAACTGGCCAAAGTGTCTCCTTATGAGTAGAAACAATAGCAGTGTAGCAATAGTAGAGCTGCATTGATCATAACTTCATTTCTTTCCAGCTGTTATCAAGAAGTCCACAAGAATTCTTCGAAATAACCTGTTTTATCAGGTTTGTTGATAAGTTTCAATTATCTTCAACAATTATTATTAGCTTCCATCCATGTTGATATGTAGACATTTTAAAGTATTTTCCTCTCTGGTTGTGACATTTCTTAACACTCTTCCACATTTTTATCTGGTAATAAGTTTGATTTCTTGTAGTATCAGATCTGTTCTTTAAATCTTTGTATTAACTCTTGTATTTTCTTTTCAACAGTGAACTGCTTCCAAAACTACCTACAGATGGTAAGATAACTTTAATGTTGAGCAGTTAAGAAGGGCAAGAGTGCAATCCTTGAGCTTAGTATCCAGTCAATGTCATCATTATTTGTCAGGGACAATTTTTTTTTCTGACAGACATGTGGTTACTAACATGTGTTAAAAGTGAAGGCAATTTCTATTGTCATGAACATTACAAATCAACCCATTTGCTTACAACAAATGTTCCATTCCAATTATACCCCTCCTCCCTACCCCTCAGTTAAGGCCCATCTTTATGTATTTATTTATATCTTGCTTTGTTTGTGAACATTTTGTTCCTTCTTTTAAAGACCAGGGGACTTTGCGGTACCATAAATCCTCTATTAAGCCCCCTATAGGGCTTATTTATGTTAGGCCCATTTAAGGGGGAGGGGGGCTTATTTAATTTAGAAACAACAATGGCATAAGTTCTCCATAAAGAACTAGAATACAAAGTGGAAAAGCTCAAGTACAAGAAGTTTTAGGTCATGCAGCCCAGGATCAGAATCAAGTCAGAACTTCCAGTTGGTAAATAAACCATCCCAGATCAGTCCACCCAACGTTTTACGGTCGTGATTGATTAATACAGTCTATCATTTATTAGCGAAGAATAATCATGGGAGGGGAGGGGTGCTTATTAGAGGGAGGGAGCTTATTTGAGAAGGGGGGGCTTAATAGAGGATTTATGGTATGTAGTAATCAGCCCTGAAAAAAAAAGGTTTTAACATAAGAAGTGAAAGTTAATGGTTTTGTAATCTCTAGGGTGTCATTTGTGCACACCCTATTAGGGACTTTTATTTTTTTTCTGTCATACAATCGTCATAATACAGTGGACTCTCTCTTTACAGACACCTCTCTAAGACAGGCGCCTCTGTAAAGCTGACACCTAGAGTTGGTGCCTGCCTTTCTTTACCCCCTTTATTTGACTCTCCATAAGATGGGCACTTAGTGCGCTTTTCACTTGTCCGAACTGGCCGGCGGGACGTTTGCCCGACCAGTCAGTTTGAAAATGAAATAGGCTTTTTCCAAGAGTTTTTGCAGAAGAACCATCTCCTTCGTGCATACTATTCAGGATTCGACTGATCTGGCTGGAGAGTTCTGATTAAAAGGGACGTTATCATTATGACGGGAATGGTCTGGTCAGTCAGTTCTGATAAAATGGAAAGCACCCTTAGTACCCATCCCAAAGGTTTCTGCCTGTCTTTGAGAGACTTGACTGTACACACATACTGTTACTTGCGTCTCATGACATCCTCCCATTACAGGTATATTTTCAGTGGATACATTGCTTTGTAAGCCACAGCAGAAGGCAGAGCAAGGTCTGTGGCAGTGGAGAGATGACAGGGGACTGTGGCACACATACTCCTGGATTGACAGCAAGATCATAGAAGCTGCTTATCAGAGTGGCGAGGATGAGCTGACCCTCACTACTCTGGGAAGAACTTACACAGTCGACTTTAACACTATGCAACAGGTGAGATCAAAATTTGAATTCTCATTTGTTGCCCCTATTCATTTGCTACAGAAGTAGTGGGGAGAGGTTGATAAAATATCAAGCCAATTCATCGTGTGTGATCATGTCAGTAATTCTCATGACCACTGTGTTTTATAAAGCATTAATATTACAAGGAGAAATTTGATGCTGATTACTCACAGGGCTTAAAGGGTTAAAATAATGAATACACTCTTTTTATAAGAACCTACATGCCAGGAACATAACCGAGGCTCAGAGAAGAACAAGACTTTCAGACCAAATTGCACTCCACTCATTTCAATTACCATTTTAAATCAAAGTAAGAGATGCATTCTTTCTTTGTAGACCAATGAGGATACAGGCACTTCAAGACAGATTCAAAGATGCCCCAATGGCAGTGAGACAAATACTACCGTCTCAAATACAGATGAAGCTAAAGTTGCAGGAAGGGATGAACGTGAAGTGGTATTACGTGAGGAGACTGAATTGGCTTCCTCGTACACATGTGGAATGTTTTCTGCTCTGTACAAGATATTCAGCTCGTCTGTGGGACCTGCTGTCAGACACAAATGCGTGAACGCTATTCTTAGAGTACTGTATCATGCGCCCCCAGAACTGTTGGGCGTGGTCTTGAAGAGACACCCAATTTCAAGCTTGATTGGAGGAATGCTACAGTCAAATGACTTGAGGGTCATAACAAACGCTCTTCAAATGGCAGAAATTGTAATGCAAAAGCTGCCTGATGTGTTTCATGTGTCATTCAGAAGAGAAGGAGTGATGCATAGGGTTAGAGACTTGGCCAACGGTCTGTTGGCAAATAAACCAAGCACGTCAGGAAAAAACTGTTCATCAGAGAATTTAGCAAGCAGTAGTGACGTTGAAAGTCCAACACAGAGAGTCCCTGAAAATGCACCATCATTACCAGTAACCAGGTCAGAGATCTCTGTCTTTATGTTCGCATCCCATTTTTACCTGAAAGTTAACGCCCTAATTTTTTACGCTAATGTTAGGATTATTGAAAACACTCAAGGCTTCCTTTGTCTTCGTTGAAGCGCCCGTCCACAAATCCATCTCCACAGCCACCTACTTATTTATATACCTAGCTACCCGTCCAGGTATTTATCTCATCCAACCACCCACCCACCTACCCGTGTATTGTTTCATCCACCCGCCCATCCTTCGATTCCATCCACCCACCCATCTATCCTCCACCAGCCCATCTATTTATCCACCCACCCATCCATCTGCCCACCCACCCATCTGCCCATCCGCCCATCCATCTATCCATCCATCCACCCAATCTATATGCCCACCCATCCGCCCATCAATCAATCCATCTATCCATCGGCCCACCTACCCAGCCACCCATAAATACATTCATCCAACCATCCCATCCAAAGTAACCTTAAGGACCGTCAACTTGCAAGGATTAACCTGACCGGAATTATTTTATCATTGTTACCAGAAGCATAACCATGTTGTTACTTTATCACCTTGATTTTTTTTTGTATTTTAGGAGGCTGGGGGATGTCTTGCGGAGGAAACGCTATTCAAAACGTCCAAGTAGAGGCAAAGCTACAAGCATTGCAAGCACATCAGATGCGTTTGTTGGTGACGTTGCTAGGCAGCAGATAGGTGCACCTTCTTCAAAGACGATGCTTCACGAGAGTAGAGCTTCATTTTTGGCCTCTCAGTCTTCAAGACTTAGTTGCCGGTCTTCAGTGCTCTCAGAACGACCAGCTAAGGTACAGCATAAGAAGGTTGTACCAAGGGCAGATTTAGGGTTGGGCCGAGGGGGCCGTGCCCACCCCTTTTCCTTTGAAATTTTGTATTATTTTTATAGAATTCTCAGAAAAACAAAAAGTATCTATGTAGCTGGCAAGTGGGCAAGTGTCCCGCCCACCCCTTTCTGAATTTTCTGGATTCGCAACTGTGTACATTACCATATATCTGTTCAGGAACAGTGGAACCCCGATTTAATGCAGTGTCAAGGGACTGGGGAAATTTGTTTGTTAGATCGAAAATCTCGATTTAACGAATTTTCGGGAAAAAAAAATTCTCGTCATGTCGAGTTATACTTAATAATTAATTTTCAACGTCCAGCATTTCCCGATTATGAACAATTTACACTATACAAAGCTATTGTCTCAGTACAGAGTTGTACATGCCATAGCTACGGCACTATAAGCTCTAGAAGAGGCAAACGAAACTGGTTAAAACCACTGTGCTCATAAATTTTATCCTTGTTGGTCAGTTTCTCATTCATCTTCATCAGATGTTGACATTTATCCGTTATATCGAAGTATATTATACTCTTCTAGATTGCGTTCGTTATAACGTAAATTTCGTTTAATCGAGGTTCTGTTCCACACATTTTACTGTCATTTTGGCCCGGCTGAAGAAAATCGTTCGTTATATAGAAGTTCTTTAAATCAAGGTTCTGCTGTAGTTCGTAAGCTTTTAACCACCAAGGATGATCTGCATGTAATTTCTCCATATAACATCACTGCTTCATCAAACGTAAAGGTCGTGAGAATATAAGAATGATCATGGAATAAGAGTCTCGATTAGTGAATCTGTGCCAGGCTCTCAGCCAATAGGGACGTCGCAAAAACAACGGAAGTCAAGATAAAATAAGACCGGGCGGAATCTGGGAAAGAGGGCAGCCGATCTCTCTCCCCAGCCTTCGCGCGTTTTTTTGCACAAGTTTTCACGGTCTCTGCACATTTAAGATCTTGAAACCTGGGACAGGTTATCATCGGTAACCAAATTCTCCTTATCAACACCTGATGAAGTGTGTAGGCAACAGTGTTCAGAATGTGTATGCTCACATTAGGGTCAAAGGGTTGGCTGGAGTTAAAGTATTTGTTTAGGTTCCCAATGGTGTCTTTTGGAAGATAGAGTATTATGAAGTATATTTAACAATTATTCTACGAGTGTGCGTTGGATATGAGATGGTAGAGAGCCAACGAGGTGTGTAGCACCGAGTTGGCTATAATCATGTTATATCCAACAAGCGCGAGTGGAATAATTGTTTTAAAATATCGCGAATTCTTCCCGACTTTATTTCTAAAAACAAGCGATTTTCATCTTGTTTTTAATTTTGAGCAGACGCGTACAGTTACCATATTTGGAGAGCATGTATATCATGGCTCATATGCCATGATGGCCAAGCCAATTAGAGCGCTAGGATAGCATTTTTCAATGATTCAGTTTTACAGATTATATATTTTTTTGGTTCCAGTTGGAAGCATCTGTTGGAAATGGCATTTCAGAAAATCACGAAAAAATTTTAACATGGATAAAAGAGCAAGGTGAGAACCCAAAAAACATAAATCAAGTCGCGGTAGGCTTTAATACAACATTGAACAAGAACCTTGACTGAGATGGGTGAAAGTAACTGGAAGATTGGATTTAAGGAGCTGTGTCACGAAACGTATCAAAATTCAAACGGTCGGAACTGCCACCAAATTGGGTGAAACGTAAAAATGACTGCTCAAAACATGCAGAGAAGGTGTAAATAACTCAGCAAATACCAAAGGAGTAACGGATGAACAAACTTGGAGAAGATTGAAACGGGTTGCAATTGTGCTTTTTGATAATTTGGTAGCCTAACATTTTTAGAGTTCATTTTTTTTGTTTGTTACGTTTGATATACTGCTTGAGAGGCATGTTTCTTTGACAAAAAAACAGTGATTTTGCCATTTACAAGTGCAGTGGAACCTTCACTAATGGCCACCTCTCTACATAATGGCCATTTTTTTGATGGACAGTCCATACATTCACTCTTGTTTCCACCTCTCCACAACGGCCACCTCTCCACAATGGCCACCTCTTCAACGGCCACCTGTCTACAACAGCCACCTCTCCACAACTGCCACCTCTCTATAACGGCCATTTTTTTGGCGGACAGTCCATACATTCATTATATTGTTTCAACCTCTTTACAACGGTAACAACGGCCACTTTCTTCTGTCCCCAATGTAGAGAGGTTCAACTGTAATTTAACAAGTTCCGTAGCAAATGAGGACGTGTAATGCGCATTTTAAACAAAGTAACTTAGACAGCCTCGACACGCGCCTTAAATGAAAGCTCTGGGATGGAAGTTTAAGTAACAACATGTTAACATTTTTGTTGCAGCTACAAAATTCTGTGCTGAATACTTTGATCAACAGAAGGGTGATTCACACCCTGCCCTTAGTGTTCTACGTCAGTTAAAGAGTGCTGCGGAACAACTGACTCTAGAGGTGAGTCGTTTGTTTAAACAGCTTTCAGTGAGGCTTCTCATGTACCTAACTCCACTGCCGCATTATGCAATCTCCTAGCGAGCATAAGCAACGAAGACGGCGGAAGCAACGAGAAGGTTAAAAAAGTAATAGGTTGGGATTCGCAAAACAACAACTTTGGCAGGTGCAGCACTTTTTTTTGTACAATTCTTTGCCGTCGTTGCACTTGTACGACTTGAAATTTCCTAATTTTTTATTTTTATTTTTAAGTTTTATGACTGCTTGAAAACAAGACATGCCTTCCATTAGAAAATTCGAAAACAACTCTTTTCCACCTGTACTGTAAAGTGGGCTATTTTGTAAAACTTTGACAAGTGTAATTTACAAATGCAGGTATTGTTTTCACACTCTAAAACAATGGCTACACTTGTAAATTACACATGTAAAAGTTTTGTTCAATTGACCCCAGGCCACAGCGTTTACCCAGGGGAGAATGGTACACTGTTTTTAAGATAAGGAAAGTGAATAACACCGTTTAAAAGCACCACAGCTGAATAGCTGTCTCAAAAGTTGTCAAAAAAAAAAAAAAGTTTTGTAAACATCTTGCAAACGTCTTACAAATATTTGTCCGCACTGATACAGCAACATTTTCTGACTCGTGTCTTGACCATTCTAGTTTAGGTTCAGGCCTTTATTTTATTTATATTTTTATTCATTCATTCATTCATTCATTCATTCATTCATTCATTCATTTACTCACTCCCTCATTTATTTATTTATTTATTTATTTATCTTTTTATTTATTTACAGAAGGAAGATTTTGTGCCAGCACTTAAGGTGAGAGTTCTCGGGAATGCTGCCAAAAACAAAAACAACGACAACAACGTTGAAAGACATCAATCAAAATGTACAATTTGTGATTGGAAATGTTGTTCTTAAACAAAAATTGTCATTTTTTATAACGCTCCCCTTCTGAATCTGTGGCTGTAACTACAGACAATTCAAGCTTTGTTGATGGCTAACTTATACAGACAGAATAAAACTGTCGCTATTTTGAGCTTTCTCTCCCTTGGATTCTAATCCATTGTCTTGAAAGCGTCAGATAAACCAGGAGCTGAATGCAACTTTGTCGACTCTAGTTCTGCTAGTATTCTCAGTAATAAACTAGGCAGGTGAAGCTCATTTCGGTAATGTTAGTCGGCTTTCAATATTTTTGATTTCCCCTCATTATCCTCAAATTCAAGTTAATTCCACTTCACTGCCAAAAATGAAATTATCTTGTGCGTTCTTTGGTTTAAAATTTTCAGGAGATTTCTGATGTGTTGACTAATGAAGACAACAGCGCATGTGCATTTGAGATACTTCACAGTGGAATGGTACCCAATATTCTAAGGTATGGTCATTCTTTCGTTAAGAATTAACACAGCTGTTTTCAGTTGAACAACAAGAGTAATTTCCATCGTCCCTAGTTTTTTCACCCTAGCTTCACTATCCCGATTCCTGGAACAGCCTAGATTGTCTTCACTTTTTGATTGGCTAAAATTTTTCATACCGCTTCTTTCACCAATCAGAAGTTACCACTGAACAAATGTGGCGTACCTGTGAGCATTTTCCCGCGCTACAGAATCTGCAACACGGATGCATTCAGTCACATGGGCTCAGTTGTTCACAAAAGTACAATTTGTTTTATCTATTGATTTATTTACTTATTTGTATCTCCTTACATAGGTATTTAACATCGACAGAGGCAGATGACGCTCTTCCCCAAGAAAAACGAATGAGAATATTTTTCCACGTTTTTGCTGGTCTGCCGGTCAGTATTAAATTAACATCCTTTTTTAATTCTCTCTTGTCTGTTGTTCTTAGAAGGGTTATCAATTTTAGTTACTTTTTTTATCCCTGTTTTTTATGTAAACGACACCATGTACTTGTTTTTCTGGCCACAAAAAACAATCTATCGTTGAAGTGTTCGTTGTGAGGATTTTTCTAATTTCAGCGTACACTAACCAGTTTTTAAAACGACTTTCGACCTCTCAGCTGAAACTAGCCTCCATTGCAGGCGCATTCTCTTTGCTTATAATCGCCATCTTTGATTTGGAAAGCAAAGGAAGACTTGGAAGAGAAGAGGGTGTGTTTAAGGCTGAAAGAAGACGGCGGTTGGATGAAATCCGGTAGAAGGAGGTCACACACCTTTTGAAGCGTACAATGTATATCATATACCTGCCGTGAAGTATAGTGATATAAAGGGTTAGAACACAAAGTGAATGATATGTTCATACAGGATTTTGTGCCCGTCAGAAGGTGGCGACCTACTTCTATGGAATTCCATCTAAAGCCACGACCATTTGGGGGATTGCGAGGTAGGGAGACGGCAGGGAGGGGTGGGCTGCCCCCTTCCCCCGTCCCCCGTCCCCCGTTTCTTTAAATAGTGCCTTACATTCCAGCAAACGTTATTGTGCCAGCCCCCCCCCCCCCCCCCCCAAAAACCCCCCCCGGCGGTTATTCAAAATCGTCTTTTAACAGCGTAAAAACAAGTGAGAAATGGAGGTTTTGCTGTGTATTTTTTTTTTCCTTGGAGATGGCCTGGAAACCCCCCCCCCCCCCTCCTAGAAACGTCGCACTGCAGTTTAATCAAAACTGTTTGATATAACGCTACAAATAGTGGTAAACATGAAGTTTGTCGTTATATTTTCTTCTTCCAGGAGACATGCTCACCTGGAGATATCAAACTTGAGGTAAAGACCTTTCTGTGATTTAAGAACTCACGTGTAGTGCAAAGGTTATTACTAGAGAGGGGGATGTATTGTGGGTACAACAAGTTGGAGCCTCGGTCTCATACAGTGGAACCTCGGTATAACGAAGGGCCAAAACACTGGTTCGTTATATCGAGGCTCCACTGTATATTTTTGATTGAGCTATAATTGTTGTGTGTATCAGTTGTAAAATTTCATTTTGTTTTTCCTTCTTCAACAGAGTGAGCCCAACGTGGGTGCCCTGATCGCTTTGATACAAAAACTTCACTTGTGTATTAATCAGTTGGAACAGGTAATAGACTGGCTATATAACAATTTCATTTCTTTTCTCAAATAGCTAGCTTGCGTTGCAGGCGTCGAAAGGGGAGGGGAGGGGAGGGAAGGAAAAGGAGAGAGGGATTGAGGAGAGAAGAAAAGGAGCCCCTTCCCTTTTCCCGTTCGTTCTTGTCTCAATGTAGGTTTCTGGGAAACTGCCTACCTTCCCCTCCCTTGAGCCAACATTTTGCCCTAAGTGAGAGAACAGTATAAGAGTCTGGGAAACTGCCCACCTGCCCCTCCCTTAAGCCAAGATTTTACCCTAAGTGAGAAGTAGGTTTTAATGATGGCTTATGAGAGGGGTAAGTGGGTAGTTTCCCCGAAACCTAAATAGATCCCTTTTTTGCGCCTGCCATGCAGGCTACAGGTTGTTAAATGGAAAACCTTTTACAAATTCCAGCTTTGTACAACAGCCATGCGCATGGACGGCCTATAAATGTAAATGGAAATGACGGATTAACCGTCTTGTTTTTCTCTCAAAAATAAGGTTGTTGTCTTGGAGAGAACATCTTATGTACCTGGTACCAAAATGTAAAATGCAGTTACCTGGGCTTTGTTATAAATCTGTTTTTTTTGTGCCGTCGTGGCTGAATCATCGACCCAGAATATATATCTGTTATCTCTCACTAGTATCTTTAAGGTACAGCCATATTTTAACAGCTTTGATCATTTTTGTAGCTTCCAGTCAAAGTCCATGACACTCCAGGCGGAGCAGTCGGGGCGAGGTAATTTTCCTTTTTTTTGTTTAAGCAACATTCATTTAGGACAATTCTCAGTCGAGTTACATAAATCATCATCATCATCATCATCATCATCATCATCATTATCGGTTTCAGTAATAACACATAATTTAACTTGGCACACAACTTTAATAGTGTCGTGTGTCAACCCAGAAGGCTAGTTATGTTGTGCACAACATCTCGCGCGAGAAACCCTCTAGTGCAATCTCTTTCTACTTCCTGCGACGTAGCCTTTTCTAGACCCTCTAGACGGGCTGGGACTTGGGAGGGAGGGCTGGGAAACTGATAACTATGCCTGACCTTTCAATCTAGCGCTCCTCCCAAATCTGTGATAATATAGCTACTTCTACTAATGATATTGCACCAAGTTAACACTGCTGACGTCATTCCGTTTTAGGGGGTCTCAAGCTCTTAGATTCTTCAGTTCCCACCAAATCAAGGTATTGTAAATTTAAAGTAAAAAATAATCGTCTTGCAATGTAATTGGTGTTGATTAAGGATACAGCAGGTCATCGTCGGCAATCAGGTTGTTTTGATTAAAAAAAATACGGATACCCCTTAGAGAACTGAGCGAAATGACTGGAATCTTAGGCGGAGAAGGTTTTCCTGGCGTTACTGAGTTGAACTTTGATTATTACTGACGAAATTGGAGATGTACCTTACCTAATGATACTTGAATTATTCTGTTAGTGTCTTCTACAAAGACACCCTGACTGCGAGGGCTTGAAGCAGTGGAAGCGTGGACCAGTGAAAATTGATCCTCTGGCGCTAGTCCAGGTAGGTACTGATTTGTTTTGGATCATTATACGTTGCTGGGAAACTCCCCACCTGCCCATCTCCTAAGCCAACATTTTGCCCCAAGTGAGAAGTAAGTGTTAATGTTGGCTTAGGGGAGGTGTAGGTGAGTAGTTTCCCAGAAACGTATAATGATCTGTTTTTTTAATACGTCAATGAAGTCTCTTTTAAGCTGGACAGTATCAGGATCAAGTCCTTTAGCTATCTTTCTTACGTTAGTGTTTGCATTTTAGAAAGGACTGTTCGCGCCCCTCGCTTCTCTTTGCTAAATCTACCCATTGATACCTAAGAGGCAGGCCTCTCTTCTTGGCCATTAACTTCCTTTGTCAATGACCTTTTTTTTTATTTGCGCTCAGCAGACGGCTACAATAGAGTTAGTCTCCAAGGCATCCACCCAGAGGGAGCTTACTTTGCCAGTAGAAAAAAAATCAAAGCGCCAAAGTCGATATGCTTTTGCTAATCTGACTCTGTATTGTATTCTAGGCAATCGAACGCTATCTCGTTGTTCGTGGTTATGGAAAGAAACGAGAGGTAATTATTGTCATTTTTTTGTTGTTGTAAAATTGTGTCCTTTTGTCCATAGCTGTCAGCTAGATTGTCAACAGTTTGAGCTTTACCGTCTATAGACCCACGACATTACTCTTACTTAATGCTGCTTTTGAGTATTCCCTCTTCCAAAAGAATGGCTCGTTTACATGTTCAGCAAAAGCACGGGCTTTATCAAACACAAGTAACCTACGTATAAACTGCGGCAGCCATTAGCACCCGGCTTTTTGTAACCTTATCCCGTTTATTCCGCGTAACACAATGACTCAATCATAGACAGTGCCACAAGAAAGTAGGAATCTCCTTTTTTAAGCTTGAGGTCTTGCTTGCGACTTTGCGTCATGTTACTATACTTCATGGTTTTGCTTTCTTGTGCAAATTAGGGGCTTTTGCTATTTTATTACCATATTCCATATGGAAGTAAACAACAAAATGACGCCGTCGTTCAAATTGCCTATCGAGTTTATTCTCTCTAATTCTCTGTCGAATTTGATGATAACTTTTATTTTATGGTAGCCTTTTTGTGTAATTTTCAATTATCATTATCACTAATTTTATAGAATCCTGATGATGATGGAAGTGACGATGATGGGTAAGCTGTTGAATATTGAGTGTGACGTTGTGTTGACTTTTTCTTGCGGGCCAATGCGGGAAATCCCGAGCGGGCGAGATCGGTGCATCTTGCCCTCTTGGATAGCCAATCAGAACGCAGGATTCGCTTCATCCTGCCCGCTCGCAGATTCAGCCATATCACAAGGGCAAAATAGTGAGTTTACGCAACAGGACGGAAGGAATTAGGGGACGAGAAATCACTATTACTTGCGTGTTTTGTCGTGATCTTCACTAACATCGGCACTCCGTCGGCTTCACAATAACAGACCTAAAAACTTACTTATTTACTTACAAGTCGGTAGCAATATTTACAGTTTCTTTGTCAAAAAAAAAAACATTAGAGAAGGGAATCATCTCGCTCATAATTGTTGTCATTTTCTTAGTTACTTAGTCAGTCAGTCAGTTAGTTAGTCTGTTAGGTAGTTAGTTTGTCTTTAGACGTTAATGAAGGTTTATTCCTTTTTTTCCAGTTCGGATGATGACATAGATGAATCTCTGGTAAGTCAATCATCCTCTTTGCAATATTGGCAATATTCTTTTCGATTTGTTTTGTTTTTATGTGCGTCACACACTTTGCTAATGCTTGATCCACTTTGACAGGCGACTGAACTACAAGGACAAAACAATTCAAGGTTTGTCATTATTTCAGTGTCTTCTGATAAAGAAATCATCCCATAATTGTATTCTAAAAAGCTGTTTCTTTCAAATTATGTTTTAAGAAAGAAAAAGATTAAACAATCGTCTTATGTCGACCTTAGGACAAAGAAAAATTCTTGATTCCCCGACAGAATTCGAACCTGAACAAAGTATCACTGGGTGAGGGCTATAGCTACTTAGTTATCATGGATACGTTTCTGGGAAACTTCCAATATACCCCTCCCCTAAGTCAAAATTAACACTTACTTCTCACTTAGGGCAAAATGTTGGCTTAGGGGAGTGGTAGGTGGGCAACAAAAAAGAAATCTCCAAAGGGACTGGTTTTGAAAACCAACATGGCCGCCGTTTTATTGTTTTGGAACGCCAATATGGCCGCCGTGACGTCATGTGAAAACGCTCTATTGGTGGCAAACAGAAATAAAAAACTCGAAAATTCGAAATTTCATTTTTGTAAAATCTTTATAATTAAATAGCACCGTGTCAAAGTTTTGCTGAAGAGGTTTCATTTGAATAGTCTCTATCTTCCAGATCTGTGGTCAAGATTCTATGGTGTTGCCATTCATCAAATAAAACTACTTTGTTAGAACTTTTGAGTGGTTCTATTCATTTCTTAGGATTTTACAAAAACGTTATGAGGAATATTTGTGATTCTTTTATATTGGCATTCTAGCCCAGTAAAAAGGCTAAGCTCGGCAGTGAATAAGGAAGATGATTTACTCGATACATAGGGGAAAATTGTAAGGGAATTTCAAGAGAAATTTTCTTGAGAGTGGCACTTGGCCTAAAATGGGGAAACAAACAGAGTTTAAGCTAAAACGTCTCGGGATAGATGCTTGAAACCTAGCGTCAGACGTAACTGTTAACGTAAGCCGTTAAAATAAAGAGTTTTGATGGTGCTGAACGTCCGGAGTTAACGGCTTGTTGTCTTAAATGAAAAGAGTATTGTTTTGGTGACACTTATGAGTTTTTTTCTGTATTTAGACATCAGCTGGAGATATTATTGGGTGACCATCCTCTGCCATACAACATGACCGTGTATCAAGCAATTAAGCAGTTTGGTCAGGTATGTTGGGTGAAGAAACCTTGTAGAAACCTTGTAGCAAATGCCACAAAATATGTCGATAAAGCGTTGACGAGCAGTTCGCTAAGCCTTTGAGCGTCGTGTTGGAATATTTGGTAGCCTATAAGGGATAAGGTTTTATTGACTTCGTTAATTTACGAACAAACTGTGATTCTGGGTCGATGCGATAGTGATTCACAAATCGCTAGTGTCATTAACTGGTTTCATCCTTTCACTTCCCAAAGTGGCTAAGCTCCAAAATTAACAAATTTCTTGTTGTAAAATACTGCAAAAAAAAAAAAGAGCGCAGCGTAAAAGTACTGCCATAGAGGTTTCTGATCAGTGTTTTGGTTAGGGAGAAAACAGAAGATGAAAAGAGAACAATGGACCGCCACATAGAAACAGTGTTTTCTTGACACTAAACCAGAATATTCAGATTTCTAAATGACAAGATCCTCGCTATAAAAATGGATAAAAGCGTCGTTTGTAAAGCGGACACCATATTGTCTTCCCAAAGCCAAGAAGGCAGACTGAATTTAAATGTGGCTGTAGTATAGTTCACTGTTTATGTTGAAGTAATAGGGAGCTTAAGCAACGATAACGGCGACGGCTACGAAAACGTCACTTAAAAAGTGAATTGGCACTGCTTCAAACTTTATCGCGCTTATTCCATCTCGTGTAATTCGTCAAATGTTGGCAACTTTTTTTAGAATGGAATTCTAAAGGACAGTATCAAAGTCCAGGAAAAGAATAAGAAAGTTGTTGTCTTGTGTTTACGTCCTCGACAAAACGTGAAATTAGGCATTTTCACGTTGTAGTCGTGCAACGACGGCTAAAGGCCTGTTTACATGGAGTTGGGGAACCCCAGGTAGGTGAGGTAACCCGCTTTGGTGAGGTAACCCGCCTGTCCATATAATCTGTCATTTTAATTTGATCACGTTTACATGATAGGTGGGGTGACCCGCCGCATGTTACCTCATCTATCTGGGATCCCCCACCTCCATGTAAACAGGCCCTAAGAAATGTACAAAAAAGCTTGATGCACGTGCATAGTTGTTGTTTTGCCTATTCAACGTATTGTGTTTTTTTGCCGTTCTTGTAGTGCGATGAAGACAAAGACTTTGACGATGACCAAGGTATCCTAGGAAGACCCAGTATCTGGGTTTCTACACACACAATATGGTGAGTGGTATGGCGTTTGCAGTTTATTAGGGACGTTTAGATTGGACTACGGATCTGCGATTGTGCGAGTACGAGTTTGCAAAACAAGGTCATTTGCCTCAGATTGTTACAGCAATCTCACCACTTCATGTTCTGTTCTCCTCATCTCTTTATGGTCTTGTTATCAACCCGGTGGATCTGAGAGACTTGTCTAGCTTCGAAAGTCATACTTCCAAAGTCATATTCCATTTTTGTATTCTTAGTCAAAACAGTCAGAAACCATTCTTGACAACTTGAGCTCAGTTCTAAGTAGAGGTTATACGGTGAATTGTTGTGTGTAGTTGGTATTTTATATTACGCCGACAAAAGATACAAGACGTATTGAACTCGTTGGCAAACGGTAAGAGCAATTTGTTTTGTGTTACGGGATTATGTATTGTCAGAGTTTCTGGTATTGCTTAATTTTGTTATACTCGATATAAAGAGCTTGTGTCATTCTTTGACTCAAAAAGTTGTGAATCAAAATAACCTAGAATAATGCCTAGCCAGTGAAAAGTGCTTCTCGCGTGCTGTGAATTGCCAGGTGCGAGGTGAATATCCTGTGCTAAAGAAAGTGACTTTTCATTGTGCTTTGTTGTAAAAGGCAGAAAATTTCCCCTGATGTAGGTAAATAGACCAGTTTTTGTATACGACATTACATTCGTTAAGCATTGTTGTACAAAATGTTTGGCTAGTATATACTACAACTATTATTCACCCCCAGTGTCGGTAAAATTGGAGGATATTTAGCGATCCACGTGGCTACAAGGCAATTATACTCGCTTATTTCTTCACTACTTAGGTGTATAATTGTTACTTGTTTAAGAACCAGGTGTCATATAACATGCAACTTTACGGGGGATGAGAATCCTATCTCTTTTCGTAGATTAAGGACTCTGAACTAACTTAGACTGCGCAGCTCTCTTGCCTAATACTCGTTAAGGAATAAGCCCGGTCTATAACTCATTTTTGTGGTGATATTTGTCAGGTTCCGACCTCTGACTCCAAACCAGAAAGAGCAACAACCTGTCCTCACCAGCAAACCCAAAACTGGATCGGCAAGTGCTTCACGATCTTCTAAGAAATCTTTGAAGGAAGATGGTGAGCAGTTCAGTACGTTAAACTTTCTATGTTGTGGTGGCTTAAGACTGCCGTTTGTTTGCTTGATGTTTGATTGTTCTTAAAAACAAAAGTTTTTGTTCGTTGTCTTTCCATTTATCAGAAGTTGTGTTAAGTCATATAGTGGTGTCATTACTTTATTGGCCTTTTTGCTGTTGTGCGTAAATCCAGGCGGTTTTGTGTTGAGCTGTATTACGGAACTGTTTTGGGGACTTTATACTGGCTATTACGACTTGGCGAGGGAAACTGAGTCGCAATTCGACACGTCACCGTCCCAGTCTTTTGCTCATTCTCTCAACGGCTCAATGGCTCTTTTCGGCCCAAGTTGCTCTTCGGTTCAATACCTTTATAGGGCCTGTGCGTGTGAACACGACACATTCATATATTTATTATTTCCTTTGATAGATTCAGAAAATGACGTATCCATGAGTCAGCTGCTTTCAGCTTGTGAGCCACAAAGCTTCAGTAAGTTCAACAATAAATGTCAAAGAATAGAGAGTATTTAGAGACTAATAATTTATCTTGTCAGAATAAAAGAACAAATGAAAAAGTCGTAGTGTTAAATTCACGCCCTCCGGATACCGGTCGGATATTCTTTCGTACTAAGCTACGTGGAGACAAGTGACGAGTGAAGTCCAGAGCTAGTTTTATTCAAGCTGAAAATAAACTTGTGCGGAAGAGAGTTTCAGAGTAGTTTTTCAGTTTAATCGAAGAGACTTAAGCAGAAAGCTGAAATTCAAGCTAAACTTTTAGATACCTGCTCGCTTACGTATCACAGATAGTCGACTATTCGCCATTTAATTTAAAATTATTTTCGTTGTTGCTTGGTAGTTATATCTGATCCAAGTATTGAGGTAATCAGCCTTATGAAAGCCCTGCACGTGATCAATTCTCATTGGACAACCCTTTACGAGGTGAGTATAGCTGAATTCTTAGAGGAGAGCTTTAGGTTTGACGACGAAGACGACTACTAGTACGTGATTTGACTTAAAAGTTTTTCTCGCGTATTGTCGAGAAAGTATTCGACCCGGAAAGTTTCATTGTACTATTTTTCCAATAGACCTGCACCGTTCGAAACTTCTTATTTCACTGGTCCCCTTTAATCTGCACTTCCATTGTTTTCAGGGATAGGGGCATTGTTATGTGACAATCCCTATTGTTTTGCCAGCTAATCAAAAGCAATCTTTCAAATAGGTGCGGGATCGCCCTATTTTTCACCTGAAAAATTAGTGCGGTTATTTTTATTGGAGAAGGTCTAGCCCTTTCCCAATACCAAAATGATAAAACTTCTTACATTAATTTTGATAACTTGTTCCCGCTACCACGACATTCTCGCTAAAACTCGTAGTAGAATGACGACGGCTATCACGTTTTCCCGCCAAAATGACGCTTGTTCACGCGGTGCAATACTTAGTACTGAGAAAACCTCGTAGTTTCCTCGTCCTCGAATCTAAAGCTCTCTATTGTTTAGCAATCAAGAGCTTCTTTAGTTGCTGATTATTTGCTTTATTCTCATGACCTTAATGCTTTATTCGGCGGTAATACTGTAACAAGAAGTAAGATGCTTATCAGTCTTAGACCCAAGAAAATAATCTGTGCTGTAGCAGATCAGTGATAGTTGTGTTTTCCATGCGATTGTCAATACCAATGAGAAATCATACAATTAACTTCTTTTTTCTTTTTCTTGTTAGGGGCAAAGCCGCCGGTCTTTTTTGTCTTCAAATGAGTTTATAAACAACAAACTTGCCGCAAAGGTTACCAGGCAATTACAAGGTAACATTTTCCCTTCTCTTCGTATAGAAAGTCATTTCGATGGTACTGCTTGAGAATTATAAATGTTGAAACCTGCCTTGTAAAGCGTAATAGGAAGCATCAGTGAAAAATCTGCTCAGTTGCTTTTATCTGAATGATCACTTCTTTACTCGAGAACTCAGTCTAAAAAGTGAAAAGTAAAGCGAAAGCAATTCTAGTCAACTATATCAACGGTAGACGCCTTTGTAAGTCATCGGCTTTATTCTCTGCGACTGAACTTCCTAAAGTATACATCTACAGCTAGACCATCGGGGCCGGGTTGTTCAAGGCCAGTGGCGGATCCAGGGGAGAACCCCTCCCTTATTTTTAGACCAAACCGAACGTTTTTTCTTTGAGACTGCCCCCCCCCCCTTCCCTACGGGGCCGGTTTCCCCCCCTCCCCCCCCCCCCCCAGCTCCGCCGCACTTTGGACACAGCACGTACACTAGATACCGCAAGGACAGATACAATGATTCCTATCATGCCTGTACTTACTGACAGTATATGTTAGGCCATGTCCCCCCCCCCCCAGGGTTAGCGCGAAATTTGAAATCAGATATGAATGCTTAAAACGCAAATTCAGTTTAATTCTTTTTTGCCTACAATTTGATGATTGTTCGGCATTTAGCCTCATTTTACAACTGTATCTGTTTCAGATCCCATCACCGTGATAACTGGGAATTTCCCTGCTTGGGTTGAAGAGCTTCCTCGCAAATGGTATGGTTTTCAGTAGAGCTCTTTGATTTGTATCTTTTGTTGTTTAGATATGGCGTTAACGGTTTTTACATTACAGTACATCACAATGACTGTACCCTGCTTGTATTGCATTTTTCCTTTGTAACATGTCCTGCCAGTAACTGTGCTTACACGTGGTTGGCTCCCCCCAAAATGTTCTGCAATTGGTACAGGATTTAATGGAGCCGAAACCAATTGTGAAATAGAGAGGAGAAGTGGTTACGTCACGTTGCCATGGTAGCAAATTTGTGGATGACAACAAACCGAAAACATCACTTAAAAAGTGAATTCGCGCTGTTTCAAACTTCGACGGTCTTATTCAATTTCATTTAATTTGTTAAATGTTAGCGAAATTTTCTGGGGTTAAATCCGAAAAGACCGTATTTAAGTTTCGAAAAAGAAAAAGACAATTTTTACGTTGTGCTCGCGTACTTCGTAAAGCGGGTGCGTGAAATCGGGAAGTTTCACGTCGCAGTCGTGCAACGACGGCTAAGAAACGTACAAAAAAACGTGACGCACGTGCACAGTTGTTGTTTTCCTGATATAAACCTATGGCTTTTTCCCAGTTCTCTTTGCCGTCGCTGGCGTCGTTGCTTAAGCTCCCTATCCAGAAATTTTGCTACCATGGTAACGTGACGTCACACTTCTCTATATTGCACGCATTTTAGGCAGCCCATTAATGAACGGTCACGGAAATCAGATATTTGCAGGAGCAAGAGTCGTTTATAATCTGTCCCCTTTCAATGCAGCACAGTAAAATACAACACAGCACAGCACAACACGGTGTAATTTAATGCAATGCAATGCAGTGCAATACAGCAGAAGAGGTAGGAAGTGATAGTGATAACACTGATGACCCTGTGGTCCTCTTACTGTATTTCAGTCCATTCCTATTCCCGTTTGAATGCCGGCAACAGCTGTTCTACTGTACTGCAATGGACAGAGATAGAGCACTTAGCAAGTTACAGGTATGGTCATTACTCTGAAGTAGTATATTCTCAAGATTATTTCTTCTTCTGACTAATCTCTGATAAGGAACCCCTTTCGCTACCCTGCGAGTAAGCTCACCAATTATGGCAGGCGAAGTGAGCCGCTAGGGCGGCGCACACAAAGATTCTCACCCTTACGTATTCTAGGAGTGAAAAGGGTTAAACTTGGTGTGGGGAAAACACGAACTTCTGCGATGTCATTCCCCATTTTATTGTAGATGGAGTACCGATCTGACGGGCAGTTCGTTTTCACTGATTTAACTGCTAACAGGCATCCCGTTACTTGTTCACAGACCTTTTATTTTATCTTAAGAAATCATCGAGCGCGCTCATACAAATAAAAACCGCGGGGAACTTATTGACCGCTAGCGCAAAGATGTGTGACTGGGGAATTTCGTTCTTTTTTTCCTCACTCTTCGCACTCGTGCACTTACCAAATTGTCGAAAAAAAAAAGAAAGAAAGAAAGAAAGAAAGGAGATTCAGAACGTCTGTGAACATGCTTGGCTTCACGCCATATAATGCCCATCATAAGGTTGTAACTTTGCCTTTCTTCCTAGGAAACACTACCCGAGCTTATGAATACAGAAGCCTCCGATCGCGTGGCACCGAGATTTGATAGGAAGAAGGTTTGTTTATATGTTTGGTTATTTGACTTTATGTTTTCATTGATAGACTACCCCCTCACTCCGCCTAGTGAGCGTACACCGTCAAACGAGGTCGAGGTTTGTTTAACAAAATTCCGTAAAAATCGCTATGTTTTGTCTACTCAAGCCTCGGTTTAGTGCCTTTGTGGGCGGAAGTGGAGCCTACACGTAAATACCGCTTTATGTTTCTTCCTAATTTCTCGTAATGTTTTAGTGCTTTGGCTTCTGTAAATTATTGTTGACATTGCGAATTTCGTATTTGTAGCACACTGTTTCTCGTGTTGGGCTGCTTGACCAGGCGGAAAAACTGATAAGTGATTTGGGCAGTTCGCAGTCTGTACTGGAAATACAATATGAAGGCGAGGTGAGCTTGTAGACCAGTCCTCAGCATATGCATGCGTAGAAAAAACGCTCTTTAAAAAGAGCGTGTGTCAAGTTAGTGTCGAAAACTTTGTTGTAGCTACTCTGATTTTGTGTTTTCTGTACATTGTGATTTGTAAAGACAAAAACTCCTCGTATCTTATTAACCAGTCAGTAATGGGCACAATTGTTTTCCCGCCCCTGGCTGCGGGCGCCGGTTACATTTGTATACTTTGTCACCGTTTGTTTTGATTGGCTCCAGTTGGTTTGAATTTACTTGTGTCAGGAATCAGGTGCTGTGGAATCCTGCCATACGGCCACGTTGTTATTACGGGCACTTTGAGTTTCGCGGCGAAATGCCCATTGTATTTTCTTAGAAGAAAACCTTATTAATGGGGCCGCGTCGTTGATGTAACCAAATGCGCATTATAAAGGAAAAGAAAACAATAATGATATCCCTTGGTAACTGAAAGTGTCTGTAAAATTGGTATTGTTCGCTTTTAAAAAAACTTGCGAGGTTCTACTGTCACTGACTTAGAGGGATGCTAAAGAAAAGAACAACAATCCAAGCATACGAAACGGTTCCGATGTTGTCCGAGGGATTTGACTGAGCGAGTAGTTGTGACGCGTGCTTGTGTGTGTGTGTGGGGGGGGGGGGGGGGGGGGGGCTGGGTGGGTTTTTTGGGGGGGCAAGCTGAAATAGAAGGCCGCATATTGAGGATATTCTGGCTGAATAATATTTTTAGTGGGGGGGTGGGGTTGGGCCCACACTGTGTTTTTCATGGTTTTTTTAAAACAAATATAAACAGGCGACCAGAGGAGGTGGGTAGAAAAAAAATAAAAAAAGTACAGTTTCGATAGATGTTTAATTAGGTGTATATTTGTTGTGTTGATAATAATATAAAGGGTGAGGGGGTCTTGTATTGGTAGAAGAGAAGAAAAAAAAAAAAAAAAAAAAAAAAAACGCAATAGGTGGGGGTTGGTTGGGGGTGGTGGGTGGGGGGTGGGGGGTGGGGGGGGGGGGGGGGGTGGGGGGGGGGGGGGGGGGGGGGGGGGGGGGGGACGCTGTTGAGAGTTTCTCGTGGCTCAACTTCAAATCAAATGCGCCATGATAGTAAGATTCGATCTGATTAATATTTTCAGGTTGGGACTGGGTTAGGTCCCACGCTGGAGTTTTACGCGTTGATTTCACAAGAATTTCAAAGAGCAGACTTGGAGATGTGGAGAGGAGAACGTACTCTGCCCCCAGGAAGAACAGGTAAGGTTTTGGTTTTGTAGATTGTCCGCGATTTTTTTTTTTCTTGCCTCCTTTTTTTACAAAACAGTACGATGCGGTAACTAATTAATACCATCCTAAAAGAGGAGACTTTGAAAGCGAATTTAAGTTGAACGGCGTGGCATTGATCTCTGGTCAAACGGTCACATCATTGTCACGGCATGTGTTGAGAGATGTTGAGACCATGCGAGGTCAATCCATCTCACCAATCCCTCAGCACAACTTTAACAAATAATAGTACTTGTTATCACAAAAACAGTCGAAACTCCGCTTGCAGACACCTCTATGATAGGGAGACCTGTCCAGTTCGCTGACAGTTCGCTTTGGATCAAACTCACTACGCTTCATTAACACGGACTTCTCTATAATGCAGACACTTGGCTGTATCCATTTGAAGGAGGTTTGGCGGTGCACTGAGTTTGCGCGAACTCAGCAAAGACGTGAGGGCGGATCAAACCGCTTCTACATTTGGAAGTCAATGGAGGAGGACAAAAGAAATGGTGTTACTGTGTTATGAAAATTTTCGGCATGTCACAACTTCTCACAACAATGTTGAGAGGGGGTATCAAACAGTCAGCAGATGTTAGGGCCATAGTGCGATAATATTGGGGCAATGTTCTGACAATGTTGGGTTAATGTTGAGACTATGTTGGGAGAATGTTGAGACTGTTTCACCGGTAGTTTACATCAATCAAGATTTGCCTGCCTAACGTTTATTCTTCGTTCAATAGGTTTTGGAGACGACGTTTCGTATGTGTACTCACCAAATGGCCTCTATCCAGGTGACTTAAAATTTTTAACTTTCTTGAGAACAGATACACTAACAGAGCTCTTACTGGCTTCCCTTTCATAGAGCGATTTACGCGTAACCTTGAAATGAAAACGCGCGAACAAAACAGAAACAACAAACGAACGGAAATATTGCGATTTGATTAGTTTATCGAACAGATACAAACGCGCGTGGCTTTTGGTTGGTTAAGCGAACGCTCGGGTAAAAAAACTTCATGCCCGAGAACTTTCTAGAAATCAAATGAAAACGCGCGAACAAAACAGAAACAACAAACGAACGGAAATATTGCGATTTGATTAGTTTATCGAACGGATACAAACGCGCGTGGCTTTTGGTTAGTTAAGCGAACGCTCGGGTAAAAAAACTTCATGCCCGAGAACTTTCTAGAAATCAACCGATACTTCGCTTTGACGTCATACTGCAACACTATTGGCCTATCGAATAGTGCCTTCTCCATATTAGGGTTTTCTTTGGCGGGCAAACGAAGACGCCATGTTTTGATCTTTTTATCCACTGGCTGATAAAACAAATAACGAACACTTACCGAAACTATTTTTCTAGGTCATACGAAAATCGCTTTATGGTTGTTTTTGCCTCTCGAAAGGCGGCGGCTTGAGAATAGGAAACACCTCCCCACACATTTTGTTCTTACACCCACTTCAAGACTGCAGATGACAGACTTTTATGTAAAAAAAAAAAATCAAGATGTAGCTTAACAGTAAAAAAGTTCCGGATTCTCCAGAGCCGTGTCGCCAGAGTAATAACGGACCATGTAATAACGATTATTTATTTGAGAGGATATATATTTTGTGGTTAAGATTTTATTGGCCTTGCCCAACACAATACGTATTCATTTATCTCACGTTATTTAGCTCCAATTTCACGCAACGCCAAAACAGCAACCGTGACAAAGCTGTGCTCAAAGTTCCAGTTCCTGGGCAAGTTTCTTGCGCGCGCCATAATGGACTTCAGAATACTGGACATTCCCTTCTGTCCAATACTATACAAGTGGCTCCTCAATCAGGAGGGAACGCTTGATTTGGGTGATCTTGCAACCATGGATCCGGTGCTGGCGAGGTCGCTGTCTCAGCTACAACAGGTTGTGCAGCGAAAGAGACAGTTAGAACAAGACGCTTCTCACACTCCGGAGAGTCGGCAATTGGCTGTGGACAGTCTGACGCTTGATGGAGCCCCCATTGAGGATCTCGGCCTGTCGTTTGCTTTACCCGGCTATCCGGATGTGGAGCTTAAGGTATATTATAATCGATTGTTATTAGTGATTGTGGACAGCGAGTTCTCATACTCATATTAATTCAAAAATAGAAAACAGAGGAATCATTCATTGTAGTGTTGAGAAAACCTCCCGGATTTCCATCCTTAATTTCTCCCTTAAAACAATTTGTTTGAGTGGTTATATCATACGCACAACAAAATGTTTCATCACAATATCAAGAACCTCAAATATCATCAAAAACGCTTCGCAACGCGTCATATAATTATTCAACCGATTATCTCAAATTCTGTTTCGTGTAAGATTACTTCAAAAGCTAAAACCCCATTATGAAAGCGAAGAAAAAGTTGATGTTGATGTTATTGATGATGAAGATGATGTTGATGATAATGATGATATTCGAATTTATTGCCAATCTGACAACAAAACAACAACTTTGCACGTGCATCACGGTTTTTTTTAATCATCTTTTTATTTTACATTTCTTTGCCGTCAAATGCTTAATTAAGTTCACGTTTTAGGGAGGACGCAAATAAGCGGCGACGAATTTTTCTTTCTCTTTCTAAACTTGAGTGCGGTCCCCATGAGATCACCTCCAAGGAAATTCGCCTACATTGGACATTTTTAACAAATGGGAATAAACGTATCAAGTTTTGAAAAAACTCGATTTCATTTTGAAAGTGACGTTTTCACTGTCGTCACCGTTGTCGATGCTAAAGTTCCCTATTTACAGCGGTACAGCGGGGGATGCACGGCAACTTTCACCCAACTAATTTATACTCCTGATGATTTTTATTGCTAGTGATTAATTGATTGACTGACTGAGTGATTGATTGACTGATTGATTGATTGATTGATGTTTTAGAGAGGTGGAAAAGACATCGCAGTCACTATCCACGATTTAGAAGAATACATCAAGGTAAATTGAATTTAATTGATCTCAACTAGATACCAAACTCCCTCTGCAGCAAGGCTTTCACAGGAACACATCGTCATATTGTTGTATCTGAAGAAAATCATGTCGCCCTTTATTAGAGAACTTCAAAATTTTTGCTTGCCTAACAGGACCTACAATGGTCCAGTCCTATGCGTTAAATGTCTACATTTCAACATTTTTTTTAACTGCAAGGTCGAAATGCTGTGTATTATTCCAAGATGTATTTTTCACGCAAATTATCAATGTATTCAGCATGAGTACTACTTCAGGACACCTCTCTGCCGGAGACGGGCTCCTCAATTTTCATGTGCCTGGTCATCCAAGCCATTAGGAAGGTGTAACCGTTTGCGGGACACTGAAGGCAATAGAGCGATTTAGAATCACGTTAACGGCAAACGTCCTTTTGTACCACGTGATCACGTTTACTGTTCGTGATATCTACTCAGACATCAGCACACTCATGTCAATTTCATCCATAACAATTGTTTTGGACAGTTTTGATCGGCTCATTTCTTAATTTGATATATGAATCTGAAATTTGCCGTTTGCCGTTAACGTGATTGTAAATCTCTCTAACAACATACTTTATCATTTATTTAAAGATGGTTACTGTTGGTGTGGCACTAGCCTGCGTTGCTGGCGGGATTAGCGCGGGAGTGCTGTATTGTTTTAGCACGATAAAATCCCTCGCGGCTTCGCCGTTCGCTTCGCGTGGCGGGAGCCGCCAAGAAAATACCTCGGGCACAAGAATCCCGCCAGCTACGCAGGCTAGTGTGGCCTGGGTATTTTAACCCGTGAATTCCCGCGCTGCGGACCAGCACTTTACCCTCAGAGCTAATTTATTTTTTGCCTAATTGTTTTCATTTTTCAGTTGGTTGTTCAGTGGACTCTTCTAACAGGTGTCAAACGCCAGCTTGATTCTCTCCGAGAAGGGTTTAACTCAGTTTTGCCTCTGTCAAATCTGACGATTTTTACTTACAGTGAGGTGAGTCACATGGTTTCATCATTTACTTCAACATTCATTTAAAAAATTGTTGAAACAAAGGTCGAGGAGGCTGTTTGCGCACATCAAACTACAGAATCAACGTTTTCAAAATGGCGGTAAGAGACGTGCGAACGCAGATGTATTTCCGGTTTCCGCTGTGTCTCCAAGGCGACGTTGCTTCTTCTGACTTTTTCCGCGCTACGTCCGTTCAACCTTTTTGTTTTTGTTTTTGTCTTTTTTTAATTGCTTAGACGTTTTCTCTGAAATTTATGATCGTTTTTCTTTCCAGATGGAGCTAACTCTCTGTGGAAATGTAGCCGAAAAGTGGGATATTAAATGTAAGCAACATCTCGTTACTTCAATTGTATTTGTAAATTTGCCCGTCCACATAATGTTCCCTCATTGTTGTAACAAGTTGTTTTTATATTTAACTCAGTAAGTGGCCATTCCTAATCAACAAAATGGCTGAATTTGGCCACATTGCTCGTCCCTGGCGTTAGGCGTTGACATGTTAGCAATAAAATAAATCAGTGCTGTTTTGGTTAATACAGTGGTGTTGCATTTTAGGTCTCGTTGAGAGCTGCCGACCCGATCACGGTTACACCCATGACAGGTGAGTGAAACCTTGCCCTAACTTTCTATGGTCTTCACAAAAAATAAACGCAACGATAATCTAAATAATCACATTTCGGTGCTTCATCAGTAAGTCAAGTCGTGGCTCGGCAGGATTGGGGAAAGCGAAGTGGCCGAGAGGAGAACTGGAGAAAATTTCCCACTCCTGAAACTGTAAAGGTGATGTGACACGGGACGATTCACAACGACGATTTTTAACGCAACACAGCATCACAATATTAGAACAATGTTATAACTATTCGAAACAATGTCGCAACAATGTTACTAACAACAGTGTTCCAACGGTGTGTTGCACTAAAAATCGTCGTTGCGAATTATCTCGTGTAACATCACTTCAAGAGGAATGGGTCAAGCTTTCGGTGCAAGGGTTTCTGGGATTGTTTGGGTTGACAAGCTTTAGTTGGAATAGGTTAATGATTCCATCGACCAATCATAACTAACGGTTGGCCACCCAAACTATCCCAGAAATCGTTGCAGCAAAGGGCTTGCACCCATTCCACTTATAGTTTCTGGAGTGGGGAACTTTCTTCGTTCGCTTCTCCCGATTTCCTCCCTCGCAAGACCACCCTCATTCCCGGCTAACAGAGGCCTCTCTTGCCAGGGAAGAGAGGCCTCTGTTAGCCGGGAATGAGGGTGGTCCTGTGGGACTTCTGTACTGTTAAGAATGTGTATTTACAGGAAAGCGTTTTTGGAGGTGTTGATATTTTAACCAGCTTTAATGCTTTTCTTTCTGTAATTTTAGTCGAGCCGTGAAGAGTCTGTTTGAAATTTTAAGCTGCTACGCGCAGGAGGAGCAGCGACTCTTTTTGCAGTTTGTCACAGGAAGCCCAAGATTACCAGTCGGAGGTAAGATCACAGATATTCCTTTATTTTTCTCGACATTTTGCGTGTAAATACTTTCAGTACTAAAAAGGAATTCTTGCAGACAGGCTTGCTTGCAGATAATCTTTTGGACGCGCTTCGCGCGCGTTTTGGCAGCTTTTCTTCCCTCTCACCAAACAAAACGCCAGCTACGCAGGCTGGTGATTACTTGTTGAAAAGTAATACTGCCCTTATGCAGTTAATAGTTGCAACCTTTACCAAGCGGTCAAGGGAGCCTTCGGCAATTGCACAATGTTTTCGTTTCTACGAACAATAACGAGTAATTCTGAACGAATGGCTCATATGAACTTGCGCCATAGTTTCTAACAGGGTCGGACCCATGTAGGCAAATCTGCCCAACACAGTACTCGTTCGTTGACTTTGTGTATGTTTACGAGCTGTTTGGAGAAATTGGTCTTGGTTCGTTTACCGTTCTGTCGAAACAACGCACTTTTATTCAACCAGGTAACCATTTAATTGATGGAAGTACAGTAAAACAAACAATTGGGAAGTCTAGAGGGTGACCACTTCTGCATAATTGGCAATAATTGACAGGTTAAGAGATGTCAGCTGTCTGTTCCCCCACCCTCCCCCAAAACTGGCTGTCATGCAAGAGAGACCAGCCACCCCTTGGGGAGAGTGGGTGGGGCGAAGAGACGGCTAACATTTCAGACTAGGCGAGAGAGACTGGGCCTGTGTTGCATTGAACTGCATTGCTGGACCATTTGTATAGGCGAATTTTGACCCAGTATCAGCTTTGCAAAAGATGTTAATACGAAGATTGAAGTATCGTTCAGTGTTCTTCTGAATTCAAGGAAAAATTTTGAGATGTTGTATTTTGTTTCGTTAGGCCTGCGCAGTCTAAACCCACCGCTGACCATTGTCCGCAAGTCGTTTGAGCCACCACTTTGTGCTGATAACTACTTACCCTCTGTCATGACTTGCGTGAACTATCTGAAGCTGCCGGACTACTCCAGCAAGGAGATCATGGCCAATAAGCTTAAACTGGCTGCCCTGGAGGGACAGCGCTCGTTCCACTTGTCTTGAAGAGACTCGACTTTCAGTTTTCTTGATACCATGTTTTGTTAATATTTCACCTTGTCGCTGGTTTTTGTTATTGTCACGCGGTCAAGTTGTCAGTCATCGCGCGATGTCGACTCTTCACGCAATTACTGCATAATAAGTCGTTTTTGATAAATGATTGAGCAGTGATGTTAATGTTGGCCGTAATTGCAGGGTTAGCGTGACGTCACGCTTTCTTCGTCTAGCGAGGTTGTGTGACTAGTCCTTAAAATCTTTTTGATAGTAGGCCATCGTATTTGGCTACTTTTGAGTGTTTCTGTGTTTAACGTTTCTGTCCTGTAGTTAGTATTAACCCTTCAAGCCTCAACAAGCTGCCACTAACTGATTTCCGTTTGTATCATCACTACGTGTAATATTTCTGATGACATTTAGGCTGTGGAGGAATTTTCGACCTACTGAAAATTTTGACCGGAGACTCTGTTCACACATGACCGTTCAATATTTTCGCTCTGTTCACACGGAACCTTTGAACGGCTAGGCGTCGAGATTTGTGTTCGGTTAAGGTGATTCCGTGTGAACGGAACAGCTATACGCACGAATTTTCGACCGGCCGGTACCTTGTGAAAAACGAAACGTCGTCTCCCTTAGCAACAAAAAATAGAGTGTCTAGCAGTTATGTTTGAACAGCATCTTTTTCGAGAATAGATGACTTCTTGTTGAGGTGTGGCAACTTATTTACTCCGAATGAATATTGTGAAGTGCAGTGATGACCAATTTTTCAACGTTTGAATTGAGAAAAAAATGCGTTTTACATTGCCAGAGAGTAGAATTGGTACCCACCGTGCGCTCCTGTAATACCTCTTACTACTTCAATAATCATGTATACTCTATATTTGGTTAGTAGAAACAATTGTGTAATTTTTTTAAATTCGATAAATGTTGATAAAATACGGTTCTTCGCAGTCACGTGTGAATTGTCACACAACGCTCCTCTCGGTGAGTAGAAGTGTTGTGTGACAAACCAGCTACTTGGAGACAAAAGTATAGCGCAAAAAAAAAAAATGGTTGTCTGTAATTCTGCTGTTTCCCTGCTTTTTTTTTGTCCATTTTTTTTCGGTGTGTTTATTTGCCCCTCTTATTTATAATAGCTTCCAATAAGTACCATTTGTAGAGGTGATAATATTGTAATAAGGTCTCATCTGTAATGTAATTAATATTAGTGTGTTTAGAGATAAGTTTTTATTTTTATTTTGCTATTAAGTGGTTCAAATATGGCAGTCACGCAATCACAAAGTGGGTTGTAAAACTCTGATTATAATTGTGAAGAAAGAAAGAACAAATAATTATTGCCTATCAGTTTTATTCACCCTCTTTCTCTTTCGTGATGTAGAAAAAGTGCACATTGTAAATAAAACCTCCAACACTTTGTATTTCCCGCTTTTCAACCACAGTTTTTCCTGTGCGCCATATTTGAATTGATAAAAAAATATGCTCTAAATGTTAGATTGTAGCAGACAGAAGTTAAGAGATCGCAATATCCTGTGGTTTATAAGCTTTATCTTCACTCCAATCGCAGGAGCTTGCAGATAAACTGTGATTTGTTTGCATAATAAAAGTAATTTTATGTGGTGAACAATTGTTGAGTTTATCTTAACCAATTTTTGTTTGTTTGTTTGTTTGTTTGTTTACCTATTCCCAGGGAAACCCCTTTTTGTAGTATGTACCCATACCCTCCGAGAGTCAATCAATCAGTTTTCGGCCCAGTGAGGAGAAATTTCTCGGTTATTGCGACAAAAATTAATGTATTTGAGGGCCAAATTGAGGTTCGTCCTTCGTCAAACTAGATCTCTGAACATACAACGGTTGCGTTTGCTTAATTTATTCGTTTTTAGCTTTATTTATTTCTCTTTCTTCCAGTCCTTTATGACAACCTTATAGCAATCGGGTGTAAATGGGACTAGTCCAAATTTTCCAGAAAGACGCAAGAACACAAAATATCGAAAAACAGGATGCATACCGTAAAATCCGAAAATAAGCCCCTTCATGTATAAGCCCCTCCAAATATAAGCCCCCCAAACTCTTAACGCAAAAAAAACCCTCCGTTACTGATCGCCCCTCCAAATATAAGCTCCCCGGGGGGGCTTGTACTTGGAAATCGCCCTCAAATACAAAGTAAAACAAAGAAAAACGGTACATTTCCTTCCAAGAATAAAGCTAATACCAAGAGTCTCCTGGGGAGGAGGTGGGCTTGCCTGTGGCGTCGAGTGGTGACCTGTGGTCGTTTTTCAGCACCCCGTTATGTAAGGGTAATCGAAATGAACCGTTCGTCAGTTGCATGATGGGAAAATTACAATGACATCACGGCCATTTTCCTGTCGGGGAAAGTCGTCGAAGAAGAAATTTGTACGATGGATTTGAGGAAGGTTTCTGACGAGGAAAAAGTCAACTTGTGCAGGAAATATACCATTCACATATTCAATTATTATTATTTATTTCTAAATCCTTTTTTTTTTTCATTTACGTGCTATCTCCTTAGTGTGGTTGTCGTGTTCCATTGCGCTTTTCTTCGTGATCGATCAATTTGTTGGTTAGATGTGTTAAAGTTACCAGCCTTATATCACTTTGAGCTTGATCATATTTTGTAATTTTCAGTGGATAGAAAACATCATTACGTGTAGTTGCGATTACTGCTGCTTTAAGAAAGCGCTTTATCCTTTGCTGTAGAGAAAAAATACTTAAGCTCATTGTGCCAAGAAGAGCTGCAACACAGTACTAGGTTCTAGATTGTTGGATTGATTACTGTCAGATCATACCACTGGTAAGTTATTCAAATGTCAAGCAGTCAGCATGGGTATAAAGTAACTCAAAATTTTTCTCTGTTATAGATTGTTAAATTCTCCTTGTTTTCATGATTTGAATGACTTGTTCATTTGTTATGTGCTATTGTTGTGTTTTCCTTGATTCCGTCAACACATTTTTTAGGAGGATTTGCTTTGCTCCCTTTTTTGTGGTTTATCAATGTTGTTTGGTTCTTCAAGGAGGCATTTATCAAACCATCATTTTCAGGGCAATCAAAGCTTAAATCATGTAAGTGTAATCATAACATAATAATGATTAATGATATATAGGATATAACTTACCTTAGCTAAATGACCCAGCATTTTGGTTCAACGTCATGTTTGTCACACTTAGCATGGGGTAGCCAAACAATGTTTGATCAAACACAGATCAGAGCAGTGGCCTCACCATAAGCTTTGTGTATGTTTCTGCTGATATTGTGGCATGTGATGGGCAGTCTACATGCAGCGTTCCAGTTAATTCTTTGAAGCGGAGGTCATGGAGACATCTGAGGGGTCAACAAGACCACGCACTAATTTTTTTCATTATATTGAACTTAACACTTATATGTCATCTGTTGGGTCAGGAAGCATTCTTTGTCGGGTCATTGACCCGAGATCTGTCTCTTATCTGAAACACTCTACATGTAAGGTACCAATAATTTTTTTCCAAAAAATCTAATTCCATGATATTAGTTGAAAAAATTATGGTCAAACTGTGCTTTACAAACACCAGCCCAATATGGAAACCTCATTATTACAGACAGTTTGCACTGTCCCTGGGGAAAGAAAGACCTTACATTTTCCCTAAACTCAACTTGTTTTTTAAAATACAGACAGTCTATATGTCCATATTTATGCGGTTTGACTTTACTTAAGTCTGAATGGGAAGAAAAGTAAATCAGGATCATAAAATAAGGTCTCTTGTCTTAAACAGGGTAGTAAAATGAATGTTTTTTCTATTAAACAAGGTCAAGGTTTGAAGGCCTCGGGGCACACATTTTACCCAAACTTTCCTTTATTGCCCCTCGTGCATGCATCACTGTACATGTATCTTAGAGGGTTTTCAATTAGAGCTGGTGGCCGGCGATTCACATGAACTCGTCACCTATTTTTCTTTGGAAATTACCCCAGTTTAAATAGAGTATTGATGTGCTGTCACTGAATAATAAAGCCAAAATTCAATGATGTCTGTGTTCTGTTCAAACACTCTAATTTTTACTCCAGAATGCTGGAAATGCATTCTAGATGCATTCAAATTTTTCCAGAAACTCGTGCTCGCAAGTCACGCCTTTGCCGTGAGTTTGTTTCCTTCTTCACCTACTCCAAAGCTTTTGCCATCTACTTAAAATCTCAAAAACCCTGATCTTACCAAACCTTTTTTATATTCCTCTAAGCCAAAAAAACCGACCAGCTCCATGGTGAGAGTTTTAATCTGTTTTAATACAATTTTTAACAAATTCTGCTTGTGTTTGTTTTCAGATGTAATCAAATCTGGAATAGGATTTTTAGTGTGGTTTGCTGGCTTGACTGCATGGATCCTTATTTATCAAAAGTATCGAGCAAGCTGGGGAGCAACTGGAGACATGATATCTTTTGTAATACCACTGGGAGAGCCCTGATAAAGGACAATGTGTTTTCTATATCATCTTTAGTGTCTCCTCCTCCTGTATTTGTAATAAAACTTTGTCTGCATTGCAGAGTGTCATTGTAAATAGTGAACTTGATCATGTAAAAATTTTTTTATTAAATCATCAGTTACTGCATTCTGCTAGTTTAGTGTCTTTTTCCTTCATTCTTTAAACTAATACATGTAATGCATGTTTTCCATGCTTAATGGAGTTATGAAAATGTCAAAAGCATTTTATTGAATAGAATTCCCTGGATATTTTTGGGCAAATATAAATTTGACCTCCATGAATGGGCCCCTTTCATTTTGTCTGTTTAATGTTTGCTCAACTACTTTGATTCTTGGTGATTTCAGGTTATTACAGTCAAGCCAGGTCACTCGAACCCCCAAGATAGTGAATATATTATTCAAAACGTGAATCTGGTAGTCATTGCTGTAACCAGTATCAAATTCAAAAATGCACTCCTGTGTGCGTCGTGTAATGAGCAGTGAATCATTTACGAATGAAAAATCCTTGAATTGGTAAAATTGCTTTGGACGCATTTGCATCAAATTCAAGAAAACTGTCCTGGTAGAAATTTCATAACAATCCCACATGTAAATTTACTGTTCATTACGCGTGCAGGAAATATGCAGAGATGAATCTGAAAATCTACAAGTATCAGTTGATTCAACTTTCGAATAATAAATTCATTAATGGGGTCTTGGGGATATGCTTGACCTGGCTTGACGGTAAAGGGAGATAACTGTTAGTAACTGTCTTGAAAAGTAACTTTTAGTCATGACCCAAAGAGAAAATTTCAGACCACTCACATTCTGAAGGGTGCATCAAATTTCCATCTGATAGTCAAGTGCTAGTCAAAGAACCCATAAACCAGCATGCAAAGAAAGTCGTGTCTGATAGCCCGGGGCTGGTGGATTTGCTATCGGGCTAGTGATTTTTGTTCTTAACTTGCCTGACGGGCAAGTGCTGTTTTGGGGGGAAATTCAAATTACAGAAGGACTGTAGTCAATCCTGTTAATCAAAAAGGGTTTGGGGGCTAGCTGAAATGACTTGTGGGCTAGTACATGCTAGCTACAGCTTGCCCAATTGGCAGGCTGTAAAACTGATTTCTTTGCACCCTGCCATACAAGTTACCTGGGAATGCGGTTGGTAGAGACCCGGGGATGAGGAGTTTGTTTTTTGCAGCAATGAAAGCAATTTATTGGAACTCATAATGAAGCGAGAAAAGACCCAGGGGTGCAAGTTGCATGTGGGCCCAACTCAGATCATAGGATTTGCTTTATATTGCTATATTTTATAATAACTCGATTATTTATGGGCTCCGGCTTAGTTAGGCAAATATGCAATGAAGTGTTTCAAAAAAAGGTCATTAAAAATTTTATTATAAACCAGCATGATTTTGTTACACCACAGATGCTTACTAAGAGAAAAGAAAACATACCAGTATCAGTTTGCCAGAAGAGTAAGATTTTGTCTCTGTGTATTAGCCTGCGGGCAAGCTCTCCATTTATCAGCAGCCAAGCATGCCACGAGAGAGAGCAACACCCCTCACTCTCAAATCTCCTCTTGCATGCTGCTTTTGTGTGATTTGTCATGACTCCCTCAGATGGAGACATTGCTTGAAGGCTATCTGTGTATTAGCCTGAAACCTCTATTGAAATGAGAAATTAACCTCAAATTTAGCTCAAAATCATTACTACTCTCTTTCTTAACTAGCCTGAAATTCATCCGATTGCTTCGAGTCGTTTTCTCCTCTCAACAACGACGTTACTAAGGGAGTAATAACGACCCGAAGTAATCGGATGAACTTCAGGCTATTTCTAAACGGTAGGAGAGAGAACCGGGAACGAGGTTGGGTCTCTACCACGCAAGCTAAGAACGCTGGGTAATTTTTGGTGGAAGAAAGCATGGCGGAGTATTTGGCGTCGATCTTTGGTACAGAGAAAGACAAGTAAGTCAATCCAGGGTCGTAGGCGATCCATTTTCATGTTTTAAATAAATAAGATTTTATTTTGTTCAGGTTTGAGTACCACAAGCGCAGGACTTTAGCGACTATTGTGTTGTCAGATCAGGTTTTTACTGCAACCATTTATTTAGCTAAGAGTTTGCAAAATATAAGCCTGTAAGATCTGAACGTCCATATTGTCCACAAATTTTGTTTCTTGTGTTCCATACAGGAAACTTCCTATTACTGTTAGATAATTTTAATGATCTGCATGAAAACGAAGTTATTTTTGGTTAAAAGAAAGTCCCCGAACCCCAATTTTTGTTACACAACTATACCTTCAAAGTTTAGCTTGTCGGTCTTATATAAAAAGCCCCTTCTAAACGATCAAATATTATAAACGTCGTGTCTGAAAAGCATGTTTTACCGTTCACAAACCAATGTTTGATCGTTGAGCCACCCCATGGTCATGTTCTGCATGACGAATACAATGGTGGACGAAAATGTTTGATTGTTTAGCCCTGCGTAGTTTGACTATACCAAGACAAGTTATGAATTCTTCTACATTATTATTTGAGAAATGGAAGAAGGTTGTAGTTGAAAATATGTGGGAAAAATTGATTAAGGAGGCATGTATAGTTCTGTGTTTGCTAAATTGATTTTCCACCTGTTTAGAGTAAATTGCTCTTTCTACTTCAAAATTGGTGCTTGTCGCCATGGAGAAAGATGCTCAAGACTTCATAACAAGCCCACCTTTAGCCAGGTGTGTACCTTTTAACCCTTTAAGTCCCAATAGTGACCAACAGCAATTTTCTCCTAACAATGTCTATACATTGTCAAGAGATAAGGTTGTGAGAATATAAAAAATGACCATGAAAGAGAAAATGCCTTGATGTTTTATTAAATTCTCTCAACTAATTCTTAAAGGAAATGTATGGAGATCAGTTTGGAGAATTTGTATGTGGATACTGGGGCTTAAAGGGTTAATGGAACTTATTTGTTTTTGTCTGGATTAGAATGACATTGTGTTATGTGTGTGCCTTAGGGTGGATTTCTACTGTCACGTAATTTTCACTTGCGTGTACATACACGTAAATTTTACTCATGTAAATAAAAATAATAGAGACATGGCATACCTGCCAACCTCCGGAGATCTAAAATCTGGAGACTCTATATTTTGCACTACACCCCCCCCCCCCCCCACCCCCCCCCCCCTTCACCACTCCACACACCACCCCCCCCCCCCCCCCCCCACAACCACCTCACAAGCACACCAACCCTACCACCCCTCACGCGCCCTCAGCTCATACATCCCCCCCCCCCCCCCACCCCCGAATGTCAACAGCACCAAAACCCCCACTCCCCCTCCCCGCGCCAACAAATTGCCTTACGACATTCTATGACGTCTTACATGACGTACATGGGGTCAAAATGCGCTTTCATCATTGTAATGATGAACTAAACTTTGTCATTGACTAAAAATGTGCCAAAATGTCCCAGAAACTGTATGTAATGAATAAAAAAAGTTCGAATTTTGTGAAAAGATGGACTAAATTTCAAACTAAAGCACAGAAATGCTCAAAAGTCCATTTTATCCGGGAGATTTGGTGCTCTAACCCGGAGATCGGGAGATTTGATGAAAACCTTGGAGACTCCCGGGAAAACCGGGAGAGTTGGCAGGTATGACATGGTATGAAGTGTTGCGCTTGAACTTGAAGTTGAGCGAGATTGAACTTTTATGCTTGATGTTTCATACGTTACCTCTCTTTTACACACACATAAAAATTACACGGCAGTGGAAATCCACCCTTAGGCCCAGTTCAAACATTGCATTTCACGCTCAAATGTGCTGAATTTAATGTTTACGAGGAAATTCTATCATTCTCCTCAGTTGCATTAGATTTGTCACTTGTGAAATGCAACATTTTAACTGGACCTTTGGACAGTCCTCTCAACATAAATACAAACTGAACTTCACTGTTAATGTGTGAAATATTTGTGACTCTGTTAGTAAGATGTACCATTTTATAGAATGAGAGAAATCAAAGGAGATTTTTTATTTTATTTTTTATTTATTTATTTAGTCACTCACAAAACCGTATACAACATGAATAAAAGTTGTTAATTAATTTATAAAATTAATGTGACAAGTAAGCCTAACGAAGCTTGAAGCTTATATTAATAGGCTTCCTTCAACTACCTAGTGAACTAAATTCATGGCTCAATGCAGAGTGAACAAGATCAGAAAATTAAGCGACAGATCGCCTGTCAGTGAGATAATTCTTTAAATTTTTTTTAAAAACAAATATAGAAGGAGAGCTAATTAGTGAAACAGGCAACGAATTGATGAACGAGATGTTGCTAACCTAAAAATTACCTGTCTAAGCCATCCTTAATATATGTCATGTTAATATGGTCTCTTTTTGTGGTAATATATTTTGGTTTGCAGACCATTTTGCTACAAAACATGTACCAGAATCCTCAGAGTGCCGCCCAGGTTGCAGATGGGACAAGTAAGCATTATAGAAAACTCTTTTCCCCAGAAAAGAAGTCAAAAGTTAAAGCCACATTTCATTGCACCTGGCTTGTAAAAAATGAATGTTTTTTCAAAATCTACATTGTATGTTTTCCCCTTTTACTACTCTTTACCAACTTGATGTTCAACTGCAAGGTTCTCAATACAATTTAGTAGGGTGATATTTGATACTTGCTTTTCTCAAGACAACATGAAGAATTTGCCCAATAAAACTGGGCCAGAAAATTTTCTGTATTACATTGTGTCTTGGTGAAATAACTATTTTAAACTGTGGCTCAGAAAGGAGGAGTTCTTTGTGGAGGATAAATGACATTTTGTCCAGAACAGATTTCTCTTATTTGTTTCTCTTTGTTCTGTTTTTTTTTTTTTTTTTACACTGATAAAAATGATTATTACCATCAGCAACTCACAAGTTCAGGGATTCATATGAATGAACAAGAACGAGAAAGGCACATTAAACAAAACAAAATTTGTGAAAGGTTGCTTCTCTCATGTACAAGCACTTACTTCTTTGGTAAGGTGGCTCAATAAGGTTTTCTGTTTCAAGGCTTCTTAAGTTTGAGTATAAAGTACGCCCCCATTAACAAAGATTTGGAATAATTACCACCACAGCTGTATTAGATAAAGATGAAAATTTGTTATGATCAGGGTAACAGTGACATCGAAGTTGTCATAGTAATGAAATGAAGCAATTACCGGTACCTCATCTTTATCTAATACAGCTGTGGTGGTAATTTTTCCAAATCTTTGTTAGTGGTGACATAGTTTATACTCAAATTTAGGAGGTATTGACCCTGAAAAACTCTATCAAGCCACCCTTAAAGTAATTCAAAGAAATTTCATGTCCTCTTTACTTTGTTATCCACAGGTAGTGCAATATCTGATGTAGAGGCCCAGGAACATTATGATCGATTTTTTGAGGTTTGTATTAACCTTTCTGATTTTTTTACCAAGGCTGTGCTCTAAGAAAAATTGAAGGGAGCCCATCCCTTTAGAGTAGCTCACCAGGGTTCCCAGTGTAGGGTTTCTATAGTAAAACTTAGATACTCTAGTCTCCTAGGAGAAAAAGTTTGGTGCCAGGGGCAACCGGGTACTGCTATAGCAAAGCCTTGTTATAGTTAAAAAGTCTTAAGAAAACCATCTTGTGATGAATTCATTGACTTGCATATTTTTTTTTCTGTAGGATGTTTTCTTGGAACTTGAAGAGAAAGTAAGTTGGATCATTAAATTTTGTTTCACACAGCTCTGGAGAGCAAGCAAGCTTCTGTCAATAAATTAATTATTACAAGCACTAAAGAGTGGATAGCAAAGTTTTTCAAGGAATAATTTAAGGAAGTACCCTAGAAGGCCAATAGTGTACAGTACTTGCTGTCTTGCAGTGTAGCATTCCCTCCTCCCTGCCAGAAGTTAAGGGGCATGCTTATCAAACCCTTGTATGCCCCAAATGTTCATTTTGCTTGCTGCTGTTGTTTCAGTATGGTGAAATTGAAGAAATGAATGTTTGTGACAATCTTGGAGACCATCTTGTTGGCAACGTCTATGTCAAATTTCGCTATGAAGAAGATGCAGAAAAAGCTGTGAAAGACCTTGATAATCGCTGGTACAATGGTAAGAGGCAGAGTTGACAGTAAGTTATCAACATGGTAATGCACCTGTCAAACTTAATAATTCATCATGTGTATTGATCACAGGATGTTTTCAAGTTGTTTTGTTTTGGTCCAGGAGGGTTTTGTGGTTGCATAAAGGTTGAGTTGCATGTGCAAGAAATTATCAAGCAACCGGCATTGTCAGGACTAAACCTATATGGCATGCTTTTTATTGCTGTGAGTCTATGTTGCAACAATGTCTTTTGTTGCCATTTGGTCCATGGTTTGAAATGACAATAGTGTTTTCTTTATTTATCAGCTAAATCCTGCTAACTAATGTTGGTTTAATTTGTGCAGGCTTTCTTTCCATCAGCCACAAATGATCAAAATGTTTCTAAAAATCACTGTCTTTTGAAAGCTCCCTAGTATTTCTTAACGTGCACTGGTACATTGTATATACATTGTTACAGATTTTGGTGGCAGTCTCTTGCAGTTAAAGGGAGTGTTTTGTTATTGATTTCTCTGTCATTTTTTGCAGGTCAGCCCATTTATGCTGAGCTGTCTCCTGTTACCGACTTTAGGTTAGCACATCAACCTAGCTGTTACTATGTTTCAGATTGTACAAATTGGGTTCATTAGAGCATAATTTCAAGCAAGACATATAATATTCCATTAAGCCCCAATAGTGACCAGTATCTAATTTCTCCTCACAGTATCAGGGCATAGTCAAAGAAAGAAGGCATGAGATTTAAGACAATGATCGTGCAAAATCCATTGTTTTTTATTGGCGTCTTCTCCCAACTAATGCCATAAGATATTTTTGGAGGCCAGTTAGTAGAATTTGAGTTTTGATATTGTTGCTTAAAGGGTTGAGGGGAGCATGGACATTGTTGAGAGGTTTCTTGTACAAGTAAGGAGACATTTAGAAGAAAAGCTGTCTGTAGTTTAATGATTTCATACAGCCTGTTCTTTGCTTGCCAAATTTTAAAACATATTGTTTCCTTTCCTTTTTGTTTTAGGGAGGCATGCTGCAGACAGTATGAAATGGGGTAAGCCTAAAATATTTCCTGCTTTTGTTACATGTAGTTAGTCCATTGACAATCTCAAACTTGTAGTGCACACTAACAGTAGTTCCATACTAGTGCTGTCTCTTTTTCGTTTGTTTATTTGTATTAAGTTCTTCTCCTGAATTATATGATTTTGGATCCTAAGTGAAGCTTGCAGAGAGCTTGTACTACACAAATGTAGTCTTTAAAATTGAAGGGGACACTCAAAGGGATCACAAAGAGTGTACACTTTAGCACGGCCTCTTTTGGAATCCAACAAGGATGGTTGGTGCTAATTACTGCCACAGATTCATCTTTAGAAATTCAGAATGTGTAAGTAAAGTGATTTACACTGTAGCAAAAGATTCATGGCACAGCCTTTTTGGGAATCCAACAAGGATGGTTGGTGCCAATTACTGCCAGAGATTCATCCATAGAAATTCAGAATGCGTAAGTAAAGAGTGATGAGAAATTTTATTTGACAACTTGTGGCTAATGTTCAGGACTTGGTCTGTTATCAACTGTACTGTATGCAATATTAGGGAGTTTAAGCAAACAGGACTGTGATGAGGATGGCAATAGGGATGTCAGGTATAGTTAACAAATTGATGCCAGTCTTTTATGTGTCTGTCCTCTAACTGATGATAAATTGATGTCATGACATTGTCAAAGTGTTGTGGATCTACTAGCCGAGGCTGTCTTCTTATGATGTCATAAAATTGTCAAAGTGTTGCAGATGCACGAGCCACATGTTGTAAAGTGCAGTGATGGCAGGAGTTGTTGTTTTGGTTATAAAACCTATCACTATGACTTTGCCTCACTGTCTGTCGTGGTTGCTTAAACTTCCTATTATTTCATGCCCACTGAATATTTCCTCTTTTCAATTTATTATTGCTGTACTCAAAGTTCTTTTCTCTCTGATACATACATACCAACATTTTATTTGTGTTTTAAGAATGATTTACAATAATTATTGTAACATGCCAGCGGGTAGCTATGCTAATCTAGGCACGTCATGTTTTCAGGAAATCAATACAACTAGAAGTCACAAGAGACCTAAAAAGATAGAATTGACATAATGAGTACAGACTTGTGTAATTTTTTGAGCTGATGCTCCTAGAAGGCTGTTTCTGATTGTATGATCCCCTCTGTTATGCAGTGAATGCACACGAGGAGGGTTTTGTAACTTCATGCATCTGAGGCCTATATCTCGGGACAGCCGGTAAGAGTGTCTGGACTACTCAGCGTAATCAATTGTAGTCTTCTTGTATATTCCTAGAGAGTGTACTCGCGGTGGGTTTTGTAACTTCATGCACATGCGGCCTATTTCAAGAGACTTGCGGTGAGTTGGGTGGAAGGGACAAGAGTGGGAATGGGGAGCATAAATGGGAACGGAAAAGGAAAAAAGTGGGATCCAGAAAATGAATGAAAGGTGGCAAAAATACATTTTATGGAAAACATTAGAGATCTTTAGATTTGAGGATGGAGTTGTTTCACATATTCTCAAAAAATAGTCACCCCAGAAAGCTTTATTTTTTTTATTTTTTTTTTTTTCACCAAAAAAATTATCACTGTTGTCTTTATTGAGGGAAGTTAAGCCCTCTCCTGATCGCAAAATTATAAAACCTCCAACATTTGATACCTTGTCTCACCAGTACAACATTCTGGCTAAAACTAGAAGTAGAATGACAACGGCTATCATGTTTTCCGGCCAAAGTGACTCGTACTCTTAGTCGACCTCATCTTAGAATCTAAAGCTCTCTATTATAGTGAAGTTTGGGACCCAGTTTATGGACAACCTCTGAACAGGTTCCTTGGACTACACCTGCTTAGACAGACCTCTGTCTGGCCTATCTTCTTCAAGCAAGTAACAGTCACCTGCTTTTTTCCCTGATTGTTTATTATTATGCCTGGTCCTACATGTATGTAACCTAACCTCGTATTCCTTCTGAGGACTAAGGTTGTAAACACTGTACTTTAGAAATGTGGGAATCTCAAATGGTCCGAGCTATGAAATTAGGGTTACCGGTAGTTAGATTTAAAATGTTCTCTATCTTCCCTTGGTGATCTTCGCAGTTAATTTTGTGTTCTGAGACAGCTAGGGACCACTTGGTCACAGCTGCGTTAATTTTCTTGGATAATGTCCAACTGTCTACTTCATTAAGTTACTGGTATATTTTTAAAGGGATGTTTATGGCAAAGGCCTGTTTAGGGGCATACTAAGAACTTTAATAGTATCATCATTTCTACATTCTGTATTATATATTTGTACTTGTTTGTGATTACAAACAATTAATTTTTTACATACAGGCGAGAGTTGTATGGCCGCAACCGTCGTAGAAGGAGGTATGTCCCTTTTCTTTTTGTAACTTGTAGTTTGAATTGTCAGCTGTTTTGAAGGCAGCTTCCAATGGAAGAATTGCTGCCTACTTGACATTTGCATTAAATAATATTAATTAAAAAGAACATTTAAGTTTTAACCTTTGCCACCTGCTACACTGGTTCTCCTGCCCACTATTGCGATGAAATTTGACTGGGCCTACAATCAACTAGATGGTACCACTTTTCACTCATTCCCCCAATGTTCTCTCCATGAAACTCTTGCCAGCTATAAAACTGTTATAGTATAAAATGCTGTAAGTAAGTAAGTGGGATATGGTCGCCTAGGTCAGCATAGTCCTGAATAGGACTGTTGTTAACGCACTGGCTGAGTGTAGTAGTCATCTTCAGAGACAAAGTAAGTTGTATCTCATCAATATTATTGGCAGATGCTCTTATGATAATTATCGGTCTGCCGCTCAGCATATTGAAATCTTATTTATTTCAGAGGTGCAGCTGGGGCTAAAGAATCACCTCCACGGTTAGTACAAAAAGGACATCATTTTGTTATGTGGAAAACAGTGTTCAAGAAAAGTCCTTGATCCTTTCCCAAAAATACCCGACCAAAATATATTGGCAAAAAATTTCTTAATCAGGTTCTAATATTGAAGCCATGCAAACTTAAAGGAAAGAAGATATTGTTAATGAAAAGTGCCACACACAGAATGTTGAAAAACTACCGGTAGATCTCAAATAGAGAATTCATCTTCAGGTTTACATACGATGTCTAATGGCCTTAGAGAATCAGTAGCAGGCCAAGGCACACCTTACCCACACACATGCAAAACATAGTCATAGTTACAATGAAATTAGCCTGCAATGAGACCATCTTGATAGAAAAGGAGCAGAGAGCAAGTTGAGAGTTTTGCCACGTGGCAAAACCATTGAATTGCAAGATGGTGGGAAGGCCAACATGAAACCTCAACACAAGATCCTGCTTCCATGTTACACGTACATGTACAAGTTAAGACAACAAGGCTCTAACTTCGAGTGCAGTGCAGGGACATGTCTCACTTGACTTTCTGTTACCTTAGATTACAGTTATGACAAATTCATCGTGTTGTCGCTTGAAACTAGGCGTCATGATATCAGCAAAGGCTTAGTTGTCCACTGTCGCTCCTCTGACAGATTTAAATAAGGAAACTTTTTGTGAATGAGAATTAGAGTTATTCCTGTGCTGGCCAAATATGTCAAAATGTTCATAACAACCATTGTTTGGCCAATTGGATCTTAAACTCTTGGGTAACACTACCTTTCAAATAATAAAAAGATTTTAAGTTAGGTATCACATATTTTGAATCTTAATCTTAGTCTTCTGCAACAATCCCTCCTTAAGGTACTTGTATATTTCTTGTGTGTATCACTTTTGATCACTGTGTGTAATGTCTGTTAACACCCACTACTCAGAGGCAGTCAAGTGACAAAATTGAAAGCTAAATTAATTAGGGCATTTCATTCTTTTAAAAAACGTTTTTTGTTGACAAGGTGCAAAGTTTCGTTTTCTGTATTTTTTTGTTTAAGGCAATAACAAGATTTTCATTTTTAAAAGTTGCATGCTTTAAGGTCTCGGTAAAGGAAAACGAGGTGCCCACGGAAAAAAATTCTAGTCGCGCGAGTATTTTCGCTACAAAGGCAAGTTATATATCAAAATAAAGCTAAAAGACTAAACTACCTTATAAAAGATTTTATTTCATCGAATTTCAAAAGGCGCTCAAGTTTTTTGCTCTCGAACTCACAGGTATCGAGTTTACTGCTGAAGCTCCAGCCCTTTCGCGTTGTTAAATATTCACTTCCTTTTTATTGCATCTGATTGACAGATAAAAGACCTAAAAAAAGGGCGTGAGGAAATTTGCATATGTCTCGTATTAGCGGAATTATTGCATTTCAAACTAAAAAGTCGAATCTCGAGCGCGATTTACGCAAAGAAACTGACATAAAATGAGTTACAAAGGGAAATCGGAAAATCCCTCACACCCTTTTTGATTCTATATCATTATCCATCATATCTGAAAGTTTCAAAGCGATAGCTTAAAACCTGTCCCGACTGCTCCAGCCTCTTAAAACTAAAAACGCAGATTTTATCTCACTCTCTTTTAGTCGAGATTTCTAAATCGCCGAGGTCCACGCTTGGCTGGTTAGCTCAGAAAAGGCTCATTTTAGAAGGGTTAAAAAGCACTTTCTGATTTTCTTTTTCTGCCAAAATAAAATTTAGGTCCCACTCATGCCAAAAATCCAAAAAAAAAACAAAATCGAGCAATGTACTAAAATTTTCATTTACCGAGACCTTAAGTCATGATTCTGTAACTGATATAGAGCCTTTTCAGGCAACTGGAAGATGTGTTATTCAATCATTCTGCTTTAAAACTATAATACCTGGAATAATGCTGTAATTTTTAAACGTTATTATAAGAATGAAATTGTGTCATTATTTCTGGCTGCGGTGAAAGCTTGTTTGTATTCTTTGTTGGAAAACTCTACAATTACAAATTTCAGGAAAGGAAATTTTTACTCCAACTTGACTATTGGAAAAGGCAAAGGACAAGCTCTACCAACCAACCAAATATTGTCAGACATTATTTTGTTTACTTACTTATTTAATACATTTTTTTCTATAACTTAATCTTTATTTTAAAAAATGTAGGTTTTTTTACCAGTTTATTCTAGGGAGCCAGCTGGGCCATAGCTGTTGTTTTCGTTTTTATTTATAAAAATGGGGAAAAAACAGTGTGAAAATTCTGGGACTAATTTCACATCGCTTTTCACTTTCCATACACCTTCGTGGTCTTTGTTTCACATCAACATTCCCGAAATAGTTTTGGTGTTCACGGTGTTCTGAGTTTGATGATGAAAAAACCTCTGACAGCTTTTTATAAACTACAGTTATTTATTGCATGCTTGCCCTTTCAAACTGATTGTTGCAAAGGTTACATGATACTGTCTCGTATTTAGTTGTTTGTTTTTATTTATTTGTTAATAGTATTTCTGCTTTGATTTATAGATCCCGGTCAGCCTCCCCTCCGTACACCCGCCGTTCACAGTCCAGGTCTCCGCCTCCCCGTCGTCGTTCCCGTTCACCTCCTCGCCGGGATAGGTCACGCTCACCTCGCCGTGACAGGTCACCATATGATCGTGACAGAAGAGGCCGTCGCTGATGAGACCCACACATTTCTATCGTTATTGAGTATTTCATGATATAAAACATATGTGCACTTTTTAGCTTCCCCATTTTGGTTTTTGCTTTACATGTAAGATTATTTTGCTTGCTTAAGACGATGTTGAGATGGACTGTAAAAGTGCTACACTGTACATCACGTTTTCCAAGTTTTGTCTTTTGTAACCATTGTCAGAGCGATTTTCGTATGAACTGGAAATGAAAATGCGCGAACCAAACAGAAACACCAAATGGACTGAAAGAAAGCGATTTGATTGGTTTATCGAACGGGCACAAACGCGCGTCGCATTTGGTTAGCTAAGAGAACTCACATGGGTGAAAAAACTTCATCCTCAGGGACTTTCCAAAAATTAATAGATCCTTCCCTTTATGTAATACTGCAACACGACTGGCCAATCGAGCAATGCCTTCTCCATATTAGGGTTTTCTTTGGCGTTCATACATTGGCTGATAAAACAAATAACGAACACTTACCGAAACTATTATTCAAGGTCATACGAAAATCGCTCCAACTCTTTAACCCCTAGGGGTGACCAATTGCTAACTTCTTCCAGTAGTGATACTGCTCAAACAATCACAAAGGTTGTGAGAATAAAAGAAATGATCAATAAGTGTAAAAGTTCTGGATAGTTAAACACATTCTCCTCATTAGTACCTTGGGAAGTGTATGGAGAAAAGTGTGGAGCATATCCATGGTGATATTAAAATGGATGAGGTTGAGTATCATCTGAATAATTATCAAGGAGGGTGTTAATCAGCCTAGGCGGATAACACCCCCCGAGATCTCCATAATTCTTCAGATGATGCGAAAGCCGAATTCAACAATTGTTTTATTATTCATTCAGAATAATTCCTAGGGTAAAAACAAGCTATAAACATGCTTACCTCCATTGATGTTAAGTTCATCTGCCTGTTTATTGGCAAGTTTAGGAGATGAAGGGTTGTTCAATTCTGAAAATATTCTCCAAATAGCGGATGTCGTCCGTTGAGTTTTATTCTTGCTGTTCTTGCTATGTTTTTAGCTAATACTTCTTTCTTCCTCGCGAAACGGGTGAAATGTCCTCCATTTTGTACTCACTACAAAAACAATCAACCTCGTCCCCAGGTCTTCTTGGTTAACTATACAGGTTTCTGGCAATTATGCTGTAGAATTGACGTCATTTTTCGTGTATCGCTTAATTCTTCCAAATTTGGTCAACAGAAGCTGGTTATAATGAAGTATCCGTGGGATTTTAGCCAATCAGAAACGGAGAAATATTTTGAGTTAAGAATAATGTTTTTATACATGGACCCCAGTTTTGAACGGTTAATCTCCTCCATCGTAAACCATGCTGAACCACTTATGATTTACTATAACTCATTGGAGTGTTCTATTTTACCAAACTAGTGGTTTGATGTTCCTTCTTCAATGTCAAATTAATTTTGAACGGTGTAAAGCAATGGCACGAAAGTAAGGGGATCAGTTCAAGATTCTAGTAACTGCCCCCCCCCCCCCCTTTAACTTCCTCCACTGTAAACCAAGGTGAACCACTTTTTTTTTTCTTTAACTCATTTGGGGTTTTTATTTTACCAAACTAGTGGTTTTTTTTTCCTTTTTCAAATTCAAATTAATTTTTAAAGGTTTAAAGCAAAGGCACGAAAGTAAGGGGGACAGTTCAAAATTTTAGTAACTGCCCCCCCCCCCCCCCCAACCTTTCTTTTCCTTTCTAACCCAGCCTTGACACTAACTTCCCATTTAGGGCAGCATGAAAAAACAGCGTAATGTTAGAGAGAAAACGCCCAGAACACGGCCAGAACCATCAAAGACGTGAAGTACATGTGACTAAAATTTTGCTTTACAGTTATGCCCAGCGTTATTAATGACCTCCGGTAACGCCAACCTCGCTTCTCCGGGGGGCGCTAATGTCAGTATATGTTCGATGCACGGGAAATGAGTCTGTCCTCTTCCTAATAAACGTGGGTAGTTTAGTTTTATTAGCTTACAGAGGGCCTGAGAGCAAGATCTCTATTAGGGGAGAAGTCACGCGAGAGAGGTTTGTGAAAAGAGAAGGAAAAGCCACAAAAAGGGGGCTTTGCGACTCGCTCGCGCGCTTTCTCGTGTGGTCTCGCGCGAGAGACACGCCTAAGGTTTTGTCCGAGGTTGTTGCTTGCGGGCTAGATTACAGAAGGTACTGAAACCTTATCGAATGATCACAATACCAATCCTGAATATTTCTACAGGCCGAGGTGGATAACATCCCCTGAGATCCGCACAATTCTTTACATCCTATGAAAGCCGAATTCAATAATTGTTTTATTATTCATTCAGAATACTTTCAAGATCTTAACAAGCCAGGGGAAGGTTCCAGGCGTTCAGGAACCTCCCATTTGACCTATGACCATGTTTATAATTTCAAGAGGAAACATTTATCGGAACCCCCTTTCGGAATTCCGCGGGAAGAGATCTTCGCTTCTGAAGAACAGAACAACTCCCCCAGTCGTCAAAAAAAAAATTAACATATTCCGGCAAAGCTGGTCGACCTTTCGGGCACTACAGAAACGTAAAGAAAATTTGTACCTCAATGTCTTAACTTACCTGCTGCGATCCCATATCGCCTAATTTTTGTTAGTACGAAACGTACGAAGGCTGACTTAAATTCACAGCAATTAAAGCACTTTGGTTTGCTTCTTAAAACGCTTGAAATCGTATTTCTGATGACTAACATTTCAAAATTCTCGGGGGGGGGGGGCATGCCCCCGGACCCCCCTAACAAAGAGCGTCTACGGCGCTCGGTTGTCAATCGGGCCAGCAATACTACATTAGGAACCCCCCTATGCAAAAAGGCTGGCTACGCCCCTGCAAGCCAACCTCCTCGTAGACTTTTATCTAAACTTTGACCTGTTTTTCGGCACAGTTTCAGGGTATAAACACAGGTTTTTCATTTCCTTCAATTACTCCTACAAAAGTAGATAACATCAATCGAGTAATGTGTTTAGCGTATTCATGCTTTCTTTCCGGTCACTTTTAGTCAGAAATTCAGCTGTTTCGTCTTAGCCGTGAACGCCATTTTTTAGTCGTCACTCATGAACAGGCCGCAGCACCTGGAAAAAAACGTTGATCTGTGGCCTATTGCCCATGTAGCCTCGTTTTCAACCAAATACACCATCGATCAACCTCGTTTTCAATCAAAATATACCATTGAAACGATGGTATATTCCAAATTTGGTCAGGACCAGCTGGTTATGAGGTTTGCCGGGGGATTGGAGCCAATCAGAAATGGCGAAATATTTTGAATGACTAATAACTTTTGTTTCTGTTGTATGTAACAGTTACCTTTCTATAAATCCCCCCTTGATCATCACCTTCATCATACTGCCATAATTAGCGTCATTATCCATCTCACTCGTTTTTCTATGCGACATTTACCATTGTGATTTCCGTTGCGTTGGAAGGTTGGAACGGCCTGTTTGAGTATTTCTATATTGAATTATTATTCAGTCTATAGCCTGGGCGGCCTGTGTTTTCTCATTCGTCTAGCGCCCGCGCCTGATGATTGGAAGTAGCCAAGGGGCTAGGGGAGAGGAGAGGAGATGTGAGAAGGGGGAGGGGGGAGGGGGAGGAGGGAAAGGACGTACACAGTATCCATTACTTCATTCATGAATCCTCTCCTTTCGCTCCCTCCCTTTTTCGCTTCTCTCCTTCCCCTTTTCCCCCAGAAACGCCTGATACTCAGGCTAGATTAAAAGAGATGCTCGGTTACCAAGTAGCGCCCGCGTATATTCGAACAGGAACTCGGACGTCGTATTTTCCGGCGCCTTCTAAGGGGTTTTAAGAAGCGAACAGAAAGGACAAAAGACTACTTCGATGTAAGTAATTTCCCTTAACTTTAGATAGTTGATAAATTTGCTATTTTTAGTACTTTATTCTTTGGCCAACATTAGTCTCCAGAAAAGACAACAACAATAACAATCCTACCGGCTGAGTTCCGCACTGATTTCTATTCCGTTGCCACCGAAATGCTTGGTAAACTCTCCCGAATCTTCTGTTGGTCGACCCGGGATCCCCACCTACTGATGCCTCTTGCAGTCTATTTTAGTTCGCTACTTGAGATACCTGTGGTTTCGTTGAAAAGCTCGTGCCGATTCGAGACGAGAGGAATTCAGTAGTTGGTTTAATAAAGCGATTTCGCTCACGTGGACAGCATCTATGCAAATTTATTGGAACAAAAGAAAACTTTTGCATAAGAAATAAAAAAGAGTTCAACTCCCATAGGATTGGTTTGGGACACCAACATGGCCGCCGTTTCATTGTTTTGGGACACCAATATGGCCGCCGTGACGTCATGTGAAATTATGTACATAAGCAAACCGGTCGGTTCACAGTTTGGTCAAATAGTAAGAAAAACAATGGTAAGTTTTATTCCGGAATCGTGTTTACCATTTGCACAAATCATTGAATTTTACCGAAAAACAGCCGCTAAAGCCTGAAACTGTTTTTTTTTTTCCGTTTGAAAAGTTCCGTCCGGGAATACAGGACTACTTTTTCAGATGTTCTCATTGCTCCGGAATATTTTTTTCCGGAACGACACCAAAAGCGGTGCTCCATGTATTTTCAAACGGTTTTGTCGAGAAATTTTAAATTGATAAACAGCCAGCACATTCCCTAGAATCGTTTGGTTGGGTGGCGTGGTAGGGGGTGGGGTCAGGAGCTATTGGTGACTCATTGTTGTGATGCACGTTCTACTCCAGTCTTCCCACGAGTTTTAAATCAAAAGATGGCGACTACGTACAACGAAAAAAAACTGAGCCTTCGCCAGCTCGAATAGCACGTCTGCGATGCATAAAAACACTGCTCCCAACATTTGCTCCCATCTCGGTCACATTGGGGCCAGTTTAAGCAACCACGTTTTTGAGTCACGCTCATCAACCGGAAGTGAACCTTTTGCACTCTTCAGCCGTGGTTTAGAACAAATTCTTGGGCAAAACGTCTCTTGAAGAGTAAAGGAACTTAGCAATACAAATTTGGTTGCGTCAAGATATATTGAAAAAGAAAAACGCTCACTTCCGGTTGACAGGCGTCGGCCAATGACCACAAATTGACTGCTATTCGCCACTTTAGTAACGTGAGACTTCTGGTACTGTTACTAAGCACAGGCAAAAAAAGGGTTAATAACTGACCGGGGCTAATCTCGTACTCAGATCTCTTTTTACGAAGCCGAGGGCGAGACGAGAGATCTGGGTACGAGATTAGACCGGTGCGTCACCAGCAACGATCCCACAAACAATTTTGAGACACATTTCGGCTCCAGTTCCCTTCTCGTTCTAATGTGGAGAATTTAAAGTTACGTGCAAAAAGCGCGCACTCTTTCATTTCGTACTTGTTAAAATAATTTTTAAAAATGCTTAATTCTGTATGCGAACCGAAATGAACCAAGGTCGTGAAATAAGGTCTCCTGTCTTAGAAAGGGCAGCGAAACGACCGTTTTCTGTCTTAAACAGGGTCAGGGTTTGAGGGCTTCGGTAGTAGACCTCCACCCATATTTTCCTTGAGTGTCCCCCCGGGAGAAGCAATATGGAACTGACTTCAGTTTAAAATGATATTCCAAAAGGGTAGCTTGCTTATTTCGATATCAAAATAGTAGAAAACACAGCCCCGACTCATAAGAATGGTACCCGTTCTTCCTGTTTAGTTATAATCCGCTGTATACAATTAAAATTAATTTCCCTCAAGAAATCTACCACACGGTCAAAAATTACACGACTCCTGTGAACTGGTATTAACGATATCTGAAATTATAATCAATTTGGATAAGCTTTCTTAAAGATATTCATCTTATTTGTAGCTTTTACTGAAAGAACTTTAAAATTTCAATTATTCTGCGCGCACATGATAGGTTCTTGTACAGATGTTCGACACCATTAATAGCAAGAATTAGCGCCATAGCATGAGCACATATGTGACCCTCTGGACCCCCTACAGGAGTTGGGACACATTTGACAGCTTCCACCACGGTAACCAGAATTACGACATCTGCAAAATTACAAAATTATATATTAAAATTGTTAACGGAGGAGCTGAAATAGTGAATCAAGAAAGCAAGAAATAATCCGAGCCACATTTTCACATAGGATCTGATAAAGACGAACCACATCTGGCAACATATGAGACTTTCTTTAGGGCTGGTCGTTGGTCACCTATTATGAGGGGGAGTTCTTGGGCTCTCGAAAATTTTAGCCATTCTAGAGAACTCCGAACAAATGTTTCCCAGAAAACGGTCGTTGGGTGCCCCTGGAGGCCGGCCATTTTGGGAAAGCTTAGAAGAATTTCGAACCTACCTCCCACCTCATCCTAGCTTTTTAGAATTGACTCCCCCCCCCCCCCCCCCCCCCCCCCCCCCCCTTTTTGCGAGTTCTCAGGACGACAAAAAGTGTGACTACGAACAGGTGGTGGGTGGGCTCGCGGGGGTGCTTTCCTTGTGTGGACAATATAAAGAATTTAACACACGCCCCCCCCCGTCTTCTTTTTCTTTAGTATATGACCCCCCCCCCCCCCCCCCCGCCCATAAATTTCGCGTATTGCGAAAGTGACCCCCACCCGATTGCTGTGGAAACAACGAATAGTTTAGCTGCTAAGCTACTAATCGTTCCGAAGTTCACCTCATATTTTATCTACAGTCGTGTTTATAACATAGGCGTTTTCTATTCAAGGCTGTTACACTTGATTTCAAATCACGCTTGTTATTGCTTTGGTACTGCTTCATCTCGCCCGATGTTATGTCGTCCGAAATGTGAGTTTTTCGCGTATTCTCAAAATATAGACACGCTGGAAAGCTTCACTGTAAATCTTCTTCAATAAAGATAACAGTGCAAACTTTTATGGTGAAAAATAGTACAGCGAAGCTTTCCAGCGTCTCTATATTTTGAAAGCCCTCACCCAATCGCAAAATGATAAAACTAACATATGATAATTTGTTCCCGCAAGTCGGGCATTTCGGGCGACATATCTTCGGGCGAGATTTTTGGGCGACTTTTAGTCGTTTTAGTCGTTCTCCTCCTGGAAACTAGAAGTCTCTATATACCTGTCGTCGCAGTGCTTCATTCCAGTCCCCCAGGAACAACTGTGATGTGATGACCAGCACCTGCCGCGCCATGATCCATGTCTCCTATGTTCCCCATGTCCATGCGCTTTACAAAGAAAAATAAAAAGTGGAAGACGTGCTGAACGCCTTGTTGTCACATAAAACGAAAGTTCTAGCGTGGGTATCGCGGTTAAAGACGCTATGATGAATTTTCTATATGCTGTCTATGTCCGGTAAAAGAAAAAAATCGATCAGTCTCTGAGAGTTCGATAACATCGCCCGATGGTCAATGATGTTGAAGTTAACGAAGCCTATGAATCTTTAAAGATGGCGGTTAGGGTATAGCGACAAATTTGATGAGAACACATTACATTTAAAGGTTGATTTCCACTGACGCGTTTTTGGCTACACACGTTAACGAACGTAAATTTTAATCACGTAAATAAAATAGAGGAAAGATAAAAAGTGCTGAGCTTAAACGAGAAGTTGAGCGAGGTTCAACTTTTACGCTTACGAGCGACCTTTCATGCATTGCCTCTATTTTATTTGCAAACGTAAAGTTTGCACACATACGCACGTAAAAATTGCGCGACACTTCAAATCAACCCTAAGGGAAGTTCCGCACAAAACTCGCGCGCGGAGCACTTTCGTCCTTCCCAGCATTCCTTGGAAACAAGGCTGCAGTCTTAAAAAGGAAAACAAAGCGCTCTGAGTGTTCAAGTTTGTGATTGGCGAAACGAACAGCTGTAGTTGGCGAGATGATAATCTCAGCGAGTGAGTCTCCTGGCTATAATGAAGAAATTATACTCACACAGTCATGAATGCAATATGAAAATTACCTTCAACAAGTGAGATGTTCAGGATGATCAAGGCCATGAATAGCAAAAATAACCAAGGTCCAAGTCGAACAGCCTGGCAAAGAAATAATCAAATGAGAGTTAGATTGTGCTGCCATTGGACTCCTTAAAACCTTTTATGATCTGCGTTCTATACATCCTCTCTACATATGAGTCCCTCATTTCGTCTATAGAAAACGTTTCTAAAGTTTTTGTAAACTTTGCCCAAGTAAGTACAAAGATAAATGTGGAAAAAAGAGAAACTCTTAAATATGAAGTGACTGTTCGTACCATGTCTTCGATGACGACGACGAAATAAAAGATCCGTTCTCAGCGAGTTCTGCTTAAGTATGTTTTTCCACACTTCCTCAATAAGAGTTGACTAAAAGCACGATCGTGTTTGCCTTCTTTTATACTCACACTGTTGATAAAAGGCGTTTTATGAGTAAATGACAGATGCCAGCCTTTCAGCGCATCTTGAACAAAATTCGAGCCATAAAGCGTTTCTTCTTGTGAGCTCTTTGTCCATATATCGTTCGTAACTCCGATTAGCTCCGATCAGCGAATGTGAACCATTCGATTAGGAAGTTAGCTACAGGCATCTCACGTTAGCTTGATATCATGGGCTCCCTATACCTTTCTATATTTTCTCTCTGTGTAAGGAGGGTGTTCTTTTCCCCCTCTCTTTTTTAAAAAAAATGCCTGCCGGTAATTGCAGGTTATGTTCTCGTACACTTTAGAAACGTTCTATTCTTTTTGACGGTGGGGGCAGGGTTGAGGGGCTTCGATTAACCTCTGCGATTCCCAAAAGGAGATCTTGCTTTCAGGATGACAATACGACTGATTGGTTTTTACTGTAGACTATTATCAATGGTACTAGAGGTACTATAAATCATATAAAACATGTGTACAATACATCTATTAAAGTGGACGTGCAGTTTTATTTGTCCAAGAACATTACTTCCTTGTGGCCGTCCTTAAGTCCTTTAGCATTACTAATTTAACTGAACGTGCTGCATGATGTCATAAGCGAGTTCCCATGAAAATGCCTCGAAACATTGTAAAACCGCAAAGACGTGACCTCGGCCATGACCTATCGACAAACGTGATAAATGTCGCTAGTATCTGTAAATAATTTGGAAAGTTTCCTACCGTTTTCTGTCTGGCTTACAATTTTAAGAAGCGTTTTAAAGAAAAGAAAAAAAGTAAAAGAAAATATAAAAGAAAAATTAAGTACAACGGGAATGGGTACCCATTCGCCTCACAGTTTCTGGAATGGGAATTTGGCTACAAAATTCTACGTCGAACTTTTTTTGGAGGGGTGGTTGTTTGGCATTCGTTGTTCGTTTTCGTTTTTTTAGCATTAATAAACGGATTTGCCGGGTTTCATTTTCTTCTTCTCCATTTTTATGGCATTGAAAAATGGAATTCTTATTCTGTTTTCCCACGTTATTAGAAAACGAAATCATTGAAACTTGCTTTTACGGTTTTCGTACGTTTAGCATCTCTTCCTGCTAGGTCAAGACTGATTTGGAAATCATGCTATTGCTTCCTAATGCTATTGAAAATAACAACCCTTTCGCATTAACGTACATGTCAAGACTTTTCTCTCATACGTGGAGCCCGGGGGGGGGGGGGGGGAATTCCTGGAAATTCTTGGTGGGGGTGTGCCGCCCGGTTCTCCAAATCCTGACCCTCTTTCAGGCTAAAAAGTATCATTTTCCACACCCGTTTTCAGACCTGGCCTCTAAAATCCATACCCCAAGTCTCTGGTATTTGAATAAAAGGCCAACAAATCCTTTCTGGATGAACTTTTTGCAAAGTACTATTTATGTTTTAGGATTCTACAAGCATAATTTTTTCATGTGAATGTTTTTCATGTCACTATTAGGAGTAGAAAGGTCAAATAACATGTTTACACGACCAAACTGCCGATGTTTCCTCTGGACGAGCCGTCTGAAATATCGATATGTATCAGTCTTGTTGCAACACGCGTTTGTGCTGTATGTACGTTACTTCTTCGAATGCATTTACTTGCCTACACGTTTTGCGTTACGGCGTCGATGATTATGTACACGTTTTGTTGATATCTTTGAAATGGAACAACCGTTTATGATGGTTATGATAGCTTACTTTGTGAATACTCCGATTTCACTTCCTTGAACTGTGATATTTTGCTTCAGTCCAATTTTAGCTCAGTCTTGCAAGTCGTTCTTTTACAGGAACGTCTAATTTTCAGCTCTGACTTAAAGCTGAAAGTTCTTATTTTGGGGGGCGATTTGAGTGCCGTGTATTATCAAGTGTAAAAACTCTCGGCTTCGCTGCGAGTTTTAAACTAGGCTTTTGTACATTATGCTTTTGCTTCCCCACTAAAATGCTCCACCTTAATGCTCCATTTTTCCCACTAAAATGCTCGGTCTCCCCCAAAAAAGTTACTAAAATGGTCGGATAATGCTCAATATACAAACGGTTTTTAAAATTAATTTTAAAGTTTACACTTACAAAAACGTGCAAGTGTTGCAAGTAACAACGACAACGTGTACAAGTTCATTAATACAGCCAAAAGAAACATCTGTATTAGGTTTTTTGTGAATTTTGAGTTTTAGTCTTCATTTTTTTTTTCATGGGGCATGGGCTCCTGAAAAAAGTTTTAAAGATAAAATAAAAGAGCCTTTTTTAATTAAAAGGCCCCTTTTACGGTGATTTTACGAGCTTATTACGAGTTACGAAAACGGAGTGATTTTACGAGCTTAAAATGCTAGCATAATGTACAAAAGCCTATTTTAAACCTGATAATACAATCCTGCTCGTTTTTAAACTTTTATTAATCCCCAAGATCAAAACTTAAATTCTCATTTCTTGCCCCTTTTCATTTCCTACTGAAGTAGTGGGGAGGAGGTGATAAAATATCAAGCAAATTCAATTTGTGTGATCATGTTCGCAATTCTCATGACCACTCTGTTTTACAAAGCATTGATATCTCAAGGAGAAATTTGATGCTGATCACTCTTAAGGGTTAAACAGTACTATGTCACTTTATTTGCCGTCTTTTTAGAAAGCTAGAACGTGTCTTCCGCAATAATTAATGAACAAAAATAATGGTTCTGTTTTCTAAGACGATAAAGTGACGATATTTAGGCCTTGAAACTGTTTCCCGTCGTCTGTTGCTGCCAATCAGGGTGGCAAAGTGGGGGGAGGGGAGGGGAAGGGTTACCTATCACGCATGACGAAAAAAATAAATGAAATATTAACTACATTAACAAGTATCCTATTATCATTGTGATCTGAGGAAATCGGAGGTCGAGGAACGAGAATAAAGGGCAAGAAGTTGGTGTCATTTTGTGCTTTGAAAATCAGACTATAAAGATTTTACGTAACCCCTGGTAGAAACTGTGCTGCCCCTAATGCACTTTGATATGAAAGGACGTTCTTGTTCTTGGACGAAACAGTTTCAAAATGTAAAGCGCAGAAATGGGAGCAGCGATTTTTTTTTTCCCAAAATAATTTAGTTTGGGGTTACGAAACAAGAACGGAAAAAAAGGCACCCTACTGACTGGATAATTAGTCAAAGCATTCCCTTGAAGAGTTTTAATCAGTTTAATGCTCGTCAAAACAGAATATTGTAAAATAGTTTTGAGCACGTTTACGATTACGTCCTGTGATTTAGCTAATGTAATATTAAGGAACCAGGGCCCGGTTGCTTAAAACATTGACTTAAGTACTCACTCTGAAGGTAGGTCACTTACGAATCCGTTACGGGTTGTATATGGGTACACTTACACTGGTGCATGATACGCACTTAGCACTCTCGTAAGTTTCTGTTTTACGTGGTAACTTACTAGCTCATTTAAGGGCGCACGTAACTTTGATATAGTACTTTATTATTTACTAACACTGTACTCACTTTATTTTTCTAGGTTAACCATCCTTAAATGAAAAGAAGCTGTCTAGTCGTTTCGAACACTTTTAAGTTTCTCAATGAAATAAAGTTTGCATGCAATCGATATGTAACTTCAATATCTACTGGAAATGTTTGTTGATCTTCTTTTTTGATAACGACGGCTTGAAAGTGTACATCAGAGGTTAAATTAAAGCTTATTTGAACGAAGTTACTTAAAGAAAAAACTTTCTTTACTTCTCAGTAAAAGATCTCGTTAACTTTGGTAAAAACAGTAAGAATACGGGACCTACTTGGGACCCGTAAATTTTGCTTGCTATTTTTCCCGTAAAAAAGGTTTATAATATATGCAACACGCGCAATTTCTGTTGCATAAACGACGCTTAAGTGAACACTAACGAAAATGGTAAGTGAATTCCCACCCTAAGTGGACCACTCAAGATATTTAATGCAACTCACTTAAGCTACAAGTAAACGTTCGTATACCCGTAATTGTTACGGGCGTTTTATGCAACTAGGCCCAGACCACAAAGCCAAAATAGATATCTTATTTATGAGCTGTTTCAAAACCAGTTGAAAATTCAAAGGTGAATTCGAAGAGCTTTGACTTCATGAAAAGCAATAAATTTCATTTATCATATTAAAAGAAAAGTTTTCCAGTGCCACGTTGAAATTGCTATTTGAAGGAATTCGAGTTCCCAGTAATTGCCTATGTGTAAGGTAAGGTGGCGTTTAAGGTTTCTTAGAAGTTACATCTTTTAAAAGGTCACAGTATCTACAGCATGGAGCAGGAACGTATATTGGTCAGTAGCCTTTGTTTAAGAAGTCACATGTTAGGATTTCATCAGCAGAAAAGTTAGAATCGCCGCAGACAATAAGAAAAAAGAGCCTGACGGATAGTTTATTAAATGGGGGTAAAATAATCAGCGGCTGACCAGTGAAAATACTGATCATAAAATGGACACATCCTACAATACCTCGATCGTCCGCCTCTCTTTATTTAAGGAATGGCTATGATCTACTGTGAACAAAATCAGTTTCCTTTAGGAATTATACGAAAAAAATAAACTTGAATGATCCTTTTTTGATTAAGATTACCAGTATCCGAAAATTACAATTGATTTGATCAACTGTCGTAATTCTGATTGCCTCTGATAGCTTTGTAGCTAAAGATCATGTTCGAAAGACAAGTACTGCGTTCATTTACTCTTTTGTCCTTAGCAGGAACCAGTGCCATAACATATACACTTCCACGCCTTGCTGGACATCCAACAGGAACTGGGACAAAACTGACAGCTTCCACCAGAATAGCGAAGGCTTACACACCTATAAAATAAATGAGGTGAGGGTTAGTGGGGACAGGAGAGTGTGGGTGTGGGTGTGAAGTGAGAGGTGAATCGGGGGGACAGGAGCGTGTGGGTCTGAAGTAAGAGGTGAATGGAAGGATAGGTGATAACAGTTTTAGGGAGCTTTAGCATTCACTACGCCAGCGGCAGCGTAAACCTCGCTATTAAAATGAATTCGGATTTTTTATCGCATCGAAAGAGATGCGATGTATATGTTTCAGTCGTCATCGATAAAACGTCGCATAAAGCAATTTTTTCACGTCGAGGTCGTACTGGAACGGTAATTAATTGTTTGACGTAAAGGTGATGCTTAACCTCTCTACTGATAGCAAATCGAATCAGTTACCTGTCGAAACAACTTTTCCACAACCAGCCAGTCCCCCAGCTGCTCCATCCGGAGCATCTGCTCCATGTTTTAAAGCAGTTTCCTGAAATGTCCGGTAAAAGAAAAAAAACGATCAGTCTCTGAAGCTTCGATAAAATCGCCCGATAAAAAGAGACGTCAATGATGTTGAAATTAACGAAGCCTATACATCTTTAAAGATGGCGGTTAGGGTGTAGCGACAAATTTGATGAGAACACATTGCAGTTAAAGCTTGATTTCCACTGACGCGTTTTTGGCTACACACTTTAACACAGGTTAATATTAATCACGTAAATAAAATAGAGGCAAGATAAAAAGTGCTGAGCTTAAACGAGAAGTCGAGCGAGGTTCAACTTTTACGCTTACGAGCGACCTTTCATGCATTGCCTCTATTTTATTTGCGAACGTAAAGTTTACGCATGTAAAAATTACGCGACACTAGAAATCAACCCCAAAGGAAGTTCCGCACGAAACTCGCGCGCGGAGCACTATAGTCCTTCCCAACATTCCTTGGAAACAAGGCTGCAGTCTTAAAAAAAAAACAAAGCGCTCTGAGTGTTCAAGTCTGTGATTGGCGAAATTTGCGAGATGAGAATCTCAGCGAGTGACTCTCCTGGCTCCAATGAAGAAATCATACTCACATAGTCATGAGTCAAGAAAATTACCTTCAACAAGTGAGATGTTCAGGATGACCAAGGCCACGAACAGCAAAACTAACCAAGGTCCAAGTCGAACAGCCTAGCAAAGAAATAATCAAATGAGAGTTAGATTGTGCTGCCATTGGACGCCTTAACAGCGCTCAATACATCCCCTCTACATCTGAGTCCCTTATTTCGTTTATAGAAAACTTTTCTAAAGTTTTTGTAAACTCTGCTCAAAGTAAGTACAAAGATAAATGTGGAAAAAAGAGAAACTCTTAAATACGAAGTGACTGTTCCTACCATATCTTAGATGACGACGACGAAAGAAAAGATCCGCTCTCAGCGAGGTCTGCTTTAGTATGTTTATCCACACTCCTCAATAAGAGTTGATTAAAAGCACGATCGTGTTTGCCTTCTTTTATACTCACACTGTTGAGAAAAGGTGTTTAATGATTAAATTACAGATGCCAGCCTTTCAGCGCATCCTGAACAAAATTCGTGCCATAAAGCGTTTCTTCTTGTGAGCTCTTTGTCCATATATCGTTCGTAACTCCGATTAGCTCCGATTAACGAATGTGAACCATTCGATTGGGAAGTTAGCCACAGGCATCTCACGTTAGCTTGATATCATGGGCTCCCTATACTTTTCTATATTTTTCTTGCTGTAAGAAGCGGGCGCTCGCGGGCGCTCTTTTTTTTCCCCTCTCTTTTCAAAAAAAAGAGGGAAAAAATGCCTACCTTATTAGTATTAAATTTCGCGGGTCTTAAATTTCGCGTTTTTCGCGATTGTAAAAAAATCGCGAAATTTAAGCGAGCGAAATTTAATACCCGTTTTGAAAATTCAAAATAGAATTAACTTGTAATGGCAACAACATATACAGGATATGTATAGATAAACACAAATTGCTAACAAATTACTGGTAAGCTCCTTTTTGTATCTTTAGTTTTGAAATAACTTTAGTTGCAAAGATTTCACACATTACTTGTTCCAGAATAAAATGAAGTTGAGAATGCTTAAATCGCGAATTTCAATCCCCTTTTTTTCATATTTGCCTGTTAAAATCGTGAAAATAAAATCCCGCGAAATACTGTCCGGTCAAAATCGCGAAAGTAAGTACCATTAATGTAATTGCAGGTTATGTTCTCGCACGCTTTAGAAACGTTCTGGGTTTTTTTGAAGGTTGAGAGGTTGCGATTAACCTCCTTGATTCGCAAAAGGAGAGCCTTCTTTCAGGATGATAATAGGACTGATTGGTTTCTACAGTAAACTATTATCAATGGTACTAGAGGTACGATAAATCACAAAAAAAAAGTATACAGTACATGTAACTGGACGTGCAGTTTTATTTGTCCAAGAGTTGGGTTCTTACGTCCTTTAGCGTTACTAACTCAACTAAACGTGCTGTGTTTAAGAAAATGCCTCGAAACACTGCAAAACCGCAAAGGCCTCTGCCATGACCTCATCGACAAACGTGATAAGTGTCACTTAAAAGTAAAAAGAGGATGAGTGTCTGCCAATAATCGGGAAATTCCTACCGTTTTCTATCTGGCTTACAATTTCAAGAAGCGTTTTAAACCTGGATATTAGAACAATGTGATAAAAACGTGAGAAGGGGGGAAATATAAATAAAATAAAAAGAAGTAGAAAAGAAAATTTGAAAAAAAATAGGAAAAAGCAGTAAACATCTTAAATAAACTCTATTGCCTATTTGGCCTCCCGCACAACCCAACCCGTACCATTCAGTGGCGGATCCATGGGAGGAGCCCGGGGAACCCCCCCCCCCCCCCCCCCCCCTCCTTTTTACACCACCAACAGCCCCCGACGGCCCACCAAAATTTTTAGGCGGGCCCCCCCCCCCCCCCCCCCCCCCTGCTTTCTTTTCTCCTACCCCACCCCCTTCCCGGGGACCCCCCCCCCCCCCACCACCACTTCTTTTTAGACCAAACTGAGGCTCGAAGGGCCGAAAAAAATTTTTTGGGAGACCGCCTCCCCCCTCCCCCCTTACGATTTCTTTGTGTCGTCACCCAATGCTTCTTTCACAAACGTTTGTACGTGTTTTTAGGGAGGAGTGTCGAGCAATTACACAAAGAACAGATACATATTTGATGTAACCTGCTGTTACGCGTTTTTTTTTTTCGGGGAAGCGTGAAAGTCACTGGACGGCGTAACGCGCAGTTTCTAACGGATGCGCTGTCACAAGTGCTAAATGTTATGGGAAAATGAAACAGAAACTTTAGTTTCCTTTTATGTTTCTCTACTGGGCTGTCAAAATTTGGTATTCCATTTTCATATTGGGCGTTTTTCATTTGGCCATCAAAAAGTCTGGTTTTCGTTTTTACTGGCGTTATTAAATAGACGGATCGATTTGATGTCTTTTTGGGTTTCCTATTTTCACGTGGGATTGTGAAACGGAATTCTTATTAATTCTGTTTTCCTGCGTTATTAGAAACCGAAGTTATCAAAACTTCCTTTTTCGGTTTTCGTACATTTAGCATATTACCTGTTTCAGTCATATGTGTTGATATTTTGCTATGCTATTGTTCGAAAAGAGCAGGGGACGAAGACCCCGGTGGTGTAGTCAACCTTTCTTGGGTTGGGTGGGTTATCTGTAAGGACACACTTAAATTAGAGCCTCGCTCTGTTGTGTGTTCTGCACCATATGGTGGAAGTGATTAAATAAATGAATAAATATTAACCCTTTCACAACAATGTTGAATTTCGACTCATACGTCGAAGTTTCTCAATAATCTTAATACTTTCATCCCTAGGCCAAGTTATGGCTGGATTCTTCAGAGTCATGCTAACGTTTCAATCTGTGGAACAAATTCTATGGTATTATTAATACCATTTGAACAAAACCTTTTTCGCGTAACTTTTGCGTAGAACTATTTAATATTTCTTAGGATTTTACAAAAAGAAATTTGAATTTTTTAGTAAATTTTGTCCTCAGGCCACTATTAGGAGTAAAAGGGTCAAATAACATGTTTACAGGACGAAACTGTCGATATTTCCTCTGCATCAGCCTAAGGTAACGATATTTAGTAAGATCTAAGTAGTGGTCTATTATCAATGCTGCGTTCTGAATGGTTGAGCTACTACTAGGCTATATCAATACGTTATAGCCCACTAGTAGCGAAAAGGGCCGGCTTTGAAAACCAAAACGGCTGAATCGCGTTTTGTTAGCTAAAGTTGTTTTGTCTCGATATTTTTTACCATCTAGTTGGATTTCACTAAAACAATTATTCCTCTCGCCCTCTCGCCCTCACGCCCTCTGAGTCAATAGCCCATGAGGCCGAAGGCCGAATGGGCTATTGACTCAGACCCATTCGGGCTTATCTGTCTTGCTGTAATACAAATGTGTGCTGTACAAATTAATTTCGCGCGTTACTTCCAGCTTTATTTCCTTGAAAGCGATTATCTTACCTGAACGTGTTGCATTACTCCGCCGATGATTATCTAGACGTTTCACTGAAATTTTGGAAATGTGAGCGACATGTTTCTTTAACGAAACGTGATATTCTTGGCTATGATGGTTATTAAACTACGCTTTGTGGTTACTCCATTTCACTTCCTTGAACGCTTGCTATTTTGCTCCAGTCCAATTTTAGCTCTTTTATAGGAACGTCCAATTTTCAGCTGGGGATTATAACCGAACCTTTTTTATTTTGGGGGGTGTTTTGAGAGTAAAACCGCCCTCAAGATTCTTTTCATAAATTGCATTTAGTAAATATCAGGGGCAACCAACGACGGGACTGAAATGCAAAAAATTAAACATTAAAAAATCGTAGGGAATTTATTTGATATGCTTCGAAAATTGTACATAAATGGAACGGTCATCTAGAAATTTTTAGCCTTCCTCAAGCTATACAAAATTGTAGGGAATTTTTGCTTCTCCGAACAAAAGATGGGTTTGACAGGCCCGCATGTAGTATGTGTCACACTTAGACTACACCACGAAGTTTCGAGCGACACATCCGGCTACACCGCAGGCCTGCACGACTTTTACCTCGTGTTTTAAGGAGCTTGACGAACAATGAGGTGGAAGGGCAACAATAAATACTAACACATGTATGGAGCCAAGCAATTACTGCATTCCGTACTGTAATGCGAATAATTGAACTGTAAAATCCTGGTTTAAGAGTTAGCGATCAGTAGCCTGTTCCAAGCGTTCAGATAGTGGAGAGCGGTGCGAAGTAAAGAAAGCGATGAAAAGTAGAGGGGGACTGGGGAGAGAGGTGCGTGTTCCCTCTCTCACCTCTCCCCCTCCCTCGCTGTTATTTTTTCGCGCGCCTTTTTACTTCGCACCACTCCCCACTATCTGAATGCCTGGAACAGGCAAGCGATCAGGGTTGGAGGTTCCAACCAGCAAGCTAGCGTATCCAGTGTAAAAAGGTTTATAAAACTTCATTTATTTAATTCTGCTTAACTATTTAGGGACTGCGCAATAATTATCAGGAGGTGGGGCCCTAAAACCAGAGGGGGGGGCCTTAAGTTAAAATAATGGAAAGGAGGGGGGCTCTACATTAGATTTCTCAAGTAAGTTGAAGGGGGGTCTTAATTAAATTTCACAAATTCGATAATGAATAAATAAACATTTTCCAAATAGACAGATGCCACTCCTTTGACTATCCACAATGTCTAAATATTGCATCTACATAAACACATGCTTTAACTTATTTAGAATGTCAACATATGATAGATTGAAACAATCGTTCATGCACAGAAGTCACAAACCACGTTGTGAGCTTTGCCAATAAAACATTTGGCATTTAAGAGGTCCCGCAGACATGCC